CAGTGACCTGTGGTCAGTCAGCCTTTATATGGCCACTGACCACTTATCATACTTCTGGGGAATTTCTTTTTTTTTTTCCATACATTTTATTTTTTTAAATACTGCATTTTTGATGTATGCGTAATACATGGAAAGGGTGTTATTTATTTTTTAATTACACATAGAGTGTAGGGTGATTCAATCTAAATTTGAGTTAATCATTGTCTCTGTGACAGTTTTAAAGAATGAATGAAAATTCTCATGGTGTTAATTATGATACAAATGCCAGTGAGAGTTCATCATGGAAGAAGGAATCCATGACCAGCTTCGGTGACCCGTCAAGTACAAACCTAAGACCTTGGACCCCTGTCTTCATGTCACAGACTTTCCACTAAGTGAGGAACCAAATCCATGATTGGTCAATTATTGGCAATGAAATCTGTTGATTTTCTGGCTATTTTCATGTTAATGTGGTGAATTTGCGAAAAACACTGAAGATAGATCAAAGAAAATGAAAAATAATTGTCTTTCTTTTTAGTCTTTCTTATGTATGTTTGTTTCATGAAAAAAAATTTAAAATTGACTTAAACAAAATCAAACCGCTTTTGTCCTGTTAGAGTGATATTCGATAGCATCATTCATGAAGCATAATTGCATACAGTCCAGATAAGGAAAAAAAAAAGAATGTTAAATTCAGAATTAAAAGAAATATTGAGTGTTTTGAAATGACATATCTTTTCTCCCCTCTGTGAAGATGACCTTGATACCAAAATGTCACTTTGTTGAACCCCATTACAAGAGCAAATTTGTTATTGTCATAAAGAAACGGATATTGTTCACAGAGTAACACCTTTTGCCAAGCTTTATTGTTCTTCTTTGTTAAAAACTGCTGGGGGATATGGTAGATCCTTCCTAAAACTCCAGAAGCACTTAACGGCACCCGACTATTAACAAAAAATGATGTAACATTAAGCAGACAATCAATGGTGACTGGGATGTAGTTTCCAATAACTGATTTCCAATTGTTATTTGCTGTAATTGATCTGGGTATAATTAGGACTGACTGGTCAATGGGGAGTTCATTTAGCTGAATGACCTATATTGATGGCCCCGTGGCTGAGGGGAGCCTCCTTAACAGGGGTCTGGGATTATGAAAAAATTATTCAGAAATAGGAAGATCAAATCAAGAAGGTGGAGTTTATGCTCATGTTAAGAAAACATTTGGATATAATGATCAGAGCCTAAGTTGAAAAAATAGGTATTTGTTGTCATAGCACTAATGTGAAGAAGTTGGGTGGAAGATTTCAGAATCTGTTTTCTGCTGATGGTATTGGCTTTGTCAGAAGCCCTGTTTATTGCTCTGATGTTCACAGGGGGGTGATATATGTGCACAGTCACATGATTGCAATTGTCCTTCATCTAAAAGTAAGTCTTATCTTCATATGTCCTAGGAACAAGGAGTCTTTATATTTTGTTCTACGTATGAAGGTGTAGTGTCAGAACTGTTAATGAATTTAGATCTCTTTATAGGCCAGGTATTGGCAATTGATTAGTTACCAGGATGTCTGTTAGGGGGAGCTACTTTAAATGATCACGACTGATTTTAACTGGGCGTAACTTGTGCTTTAGCAACATGGAAGAACAACTGGCTAGTACAGGGATAGGTAGGTAAGATAAATTTGCTGTTAAATGAAGGTCTAAATATGAGAGTGATGAGGTGGTCATTTACCTTTCAGTTTTCTTTGAGGGTGTATTCACACGAGGACTAATTTTGGACTGTAAAACAGACTAAGTGATGTCAAACTCACTAGAAGAAATTCACATAAATGGAGCTCTGGCCTAGCATAGATGCACAGCATAACTAGCCTGCCTTTGTGTAAATTTTAAATACTTACTGAGAGTGGTAAATCACTGTGCGCAGGTTGGTGATGATTTCTGATACTTTTTTTTTCAAGTAAAGCCATTTGCTAACATTAAGTAGTATTACTTCTGTAGAAGTTCATTTAAATTTATATACAATTTTAAACTTCAGTGTTTCTTTACGAGATGCATCCCATGGATTGCTATAGTTATGTGATAGTATTACATATTTTATAATTGAGGTAAGGATCATGATTTGAATGTGAGAAATGATGCAAGCTAGCACAGTTGAGCTCCATATTACATATGATCTAGCAGTGTGCACTCAAGAAGTTGTTCTAAACAACTTCTTGATGTACTTATATGAGGATGTGCATTCACAAATGTGTTTTGTCACCTCTAGCACAATTCACCACAATGAAGTATCAACAACTTCTGTATGTTCTCTACCACTTAGGTATAATAACCCTAAAAAAAGCATATGTTAGTTTTCGCTGTTGTCCAAACTAAAACTAATTTTAAGCTGAGAACTTGTGATTGACAAAGATGGTGATATCATTCATACCAGTGATCAATACATTTAGCTGGAGGCATAACCAATCTGATAGATCCTATCTTTATGAGCCTGGTTTTCTGTTCTCTGTTCACACCAGTCATAAATTGGGAGACTGATGTTGTTTAAAATTGTGTTCACACCAGGGTTATTTTTGGCCAGAAATTGGTTGGGAGTTCCACTGTCAGACTGGACTGAATCTGACTTGGTGTGAATGATAATAGTCAAGTCTGTCACAAAATTTTTTTCCCATTAAATCCTAATACTTCAACTGGCTTAGGTCTAAAATGTACATGACATGAGTACTGTGCGGTGTGAACGCGCCCCCCCATTCTTCCAAGAGGGCACACGTGTGTCTATGTACATATGTCGTCAGTACCGCACATGAATCCTTGGGATTGAGTTTCATTTCTGTGTGCATGAATGTTAGAGCAGCTCCAATATTTACCTTGACCATTCTTCTCTTCTGTGCCGTTTGTGTGCCAGTTGTGCCTACGGACAATCCCCCTTTTCACCAACGTTGTTATAAGTTCACAATGCGGCAGAATCCAGCTCGCCTACAGGTGAAGGAGAGGTTTACACGGCTTATTAACTGGCTTTAAAGCAACTTGTTTTGTTTTCGTCAATTTCCTACACACAAAACACATGGGGTACATAGCGTGGTATAGAAACTCTGCACAAGAGACAGCGGACCCTATAATAGCAGCCATGGCCCACAACTATGTCGCTACAATTGTGATACTTTGTGCCTAAGCGGTAGCGACCAAAAGGTGCCGATTTCTAAGCCCGGCCATTCTCCTTCACCCTTCCCAAAAGACCTTGCTTTTGCCAGTGACGACGTCGAGGTAGTCTGTAGAAACGGAGCTTTGAAGGTCTGGCAGAGTTGAGGGCACTGTGGCACTTTGGGATAATTTGTGCAAGGTTGTTATCCCTGGGAGATCTACCCCCCAGGTCCAGTGTTATTTCTGGCTGTAAGATATAGGTAGGTGGTCAGAGACTTCCGCAAAATTTGGACCTTAGATAAGGTTCAGGTTTAAAGGGCACACGCTTTAAATCTGTTTTTGATAATAGCAGTTTTTAGTTTTATGGACTTTTTTATTATTCCTGCAGTCTATAACACGCTACTACACCTTTGCAGCCTTTGGCCCATGGCTTAGGATTGCACTGCAGAAAGATTTAAGCAAAAAGAAACCAACTTTGTTCTGAGCAAACAGCAGCAAGGTACAACAGAAGTTGAAAAGGGTAGGGTGTGTAATTGTTTTTGTAAAGCACCTCTTGAGGGAAAGTCGACGATATTATAAATCAACACACTTAATCCAGACAATTGCATTTTAAGTCTGCTAGATGGATTTTAATGTTTGAAAATAGCAGCGCTGAGTATTTACGGTGTTTATGGTTATTGGGATTTAAGTGGACATGAATACATAAATCAACACATAAAACTCAAGGAGCAACCAGTTGTTGAATCGCATTGTGAAAAAATAACAAGCGCAGAGATTATGTGATATAACCGTGATTTTGAGGCGGGACACGAGTGTTTGAACATGGTGAAATAAGGTCTGGTTTAAATTAAGCTGGGAAAAATGATCAGGAAAAAGTATGTATTGGACATGTATGAGAGCTAGGGTGATGTAACACATTTTAGGCATCTCATTGAATTCTCTGGAAAAACATCGGAATGGCAGTTCAACCCCTTTGGATATTTAATGTGTTTTCAGTCCATTGCTTTCACTTGACTTAGGCTGGCAGGAGAAAAGAGAGAGGTATGATTTGTGTTTTCAGTTTTCTCATGTGGAAAGTTCAACATTGGTCTGCAGGGGCACAGGTACCATGGAAAGAATAATTGCGGAAGTTTAGGAGTCTTCAGACAAAGTTTACTTTAGATTGGATATGGGAATGACTTTTGTTATGATTGATAACCAGGGATTTAGCTGTCTAGGGAGGACTGGGAACTCTCTGTTATGTCTGAACAGGCTGTCAGTCTCCACAGTATTATGATAATGTGTTGGATGAGGCAGTCAAGCTTGGAGGCTTGTGCACAAAGTTGTGTTCCCAGTTGTGACAGTTTTAACTTAATTCTAATCATTTCAGCTAATTTCCTGGGTACATTTTAAACCTAGAAAGCCACCCTTAAAATACAAAACTTGACTCAGTAACGTTGGTACCAGGCGGGACAGCAGAGGGATTAGATTGGCTTTCTGTGGTTAGATATCAGAACCACAAAATCTGCTAAGATAGGGTATTCTCTGAGTTAAACAGCCACAAATTGATCAGAAATGCAGCATAAAGGTTTCTTCAGACACAAAGATGGATCAAAACGGGTTCAGGCAACCTGCATGACATAATCCATGCTCCATTGACTGTGATATTGACTGGAGGGTATTGTGATAGACCGGGCGACCACTTACACTGGGATAGAATGACACTTAGACAGTTATAGGCTGAAAACATTGGGCTAGGTTGAAGAACTGAACTAAATACAGCTACTAGTAGTTTGTTACATAGAGCTTCAAGTGTGATAAAACCATGAATTGAAAAGATATGCCATCGTAGTGGTGTATTTGCTTAGATATCATTTCTCAAGTTTGTCATCCTTGTGTCTCTCCAGGTGATGAGGTTGGCCTCCCCAGGATGGTCGGACCACGAGAGACACCCATCCAGCCTGGAGTCATCCTTCCAGTCAGCTGGGAGTAGCTGCCCACTGTCCATGTCAGAGCTGACCACTCGGCCTCCACAAAAGAGATCACAAGATGGTAAGACACTTATTGATTTAAGAAAATTCTGCTTCCTTCTTCGTGATATTTTCGATTTTTGTAGACAGTGCCACTGGCGATCCTTTTTTTTTTTTTTTTTCATTCTTTAAATATCCAAGAAGTAAAAAGCTGTTAAATATATCATTATTATTTTTTTTGATTTATTTTTTTATTTTTTTATTTTTTTGACATGGATGTTTTTTTTTACATAATAGCAGGTATCCTAACTAAAATTATCCATTTGGTATCAAAATACCTTTCAAACTTTGCTTGCCAGAATAGCATGTACGTTTGAAAATAAAGACTTCTTCAAAACGGCAGTGAAACCATTAACAAACCGCATTTCAGCCAATAGACTGTGGGAATTGAACATTCACACAAACACAGAGGATTATAGTCAAGTATCAGGTTCAGCCCTGTGGGGGGAAAGCAACCCAGAGCTATGAACATTAGATACTTTGCCTAAAGATTATTGACTTTCAACAATTCAATATCTATGAATTAAACCGTTTTTCACTGACCGCTAAGTGGTTTCTTTGAAGGACTGGTGGACGTTTGATAGCCCTTCACAATAGGTCAGCTTGTTATTAGTACTTATTGATGGTTGGTAGTATTTCCTCTTTTCTAAGACTCCAGATTTTACTTTTTATAGTTAGGGAGAGTGTTATTATAGCATTTTGTTTAGTTGAAATCTTACATTGAAGTTCTGTTTAAAAGTTATAAGAAAGCTTTTATCCAATCTTAATGCAGATGCTTTGTGTATTCTGTTTATTCACCATGCTTGCATTTATTTTAGGCAAAACAAACACATTCAAATTTCATTTTCAAACAACGTAATGGTTTCTGCAACATCTGTAAAATGACCTATGTAAACTGAAATATTCGGTTCAATTTCTTGTCGTAATCTGCTGTAATTTACATAGTGCAAGCAAATAGTTTTCGTTTCTTTACTTCATTGGGTACTTAGGCTTCGTTCACATGGAAAGTCTATTTTCTAAAAATCTATTTTCTATTCGCGGTATCTTATGATCATGGTCTGTGCCCTGAATATCCCGCGGCGTAATTACTGGCAGCGCGAGCCAGTTACTTAAATTAACTTATAGTAACTGGCTCGTGCTGCCGGTAATTACGCCGCGGGATATTCAGAGCACAGACTGTGATCATAAGACATACCGCGCATAGCAAATAGAATTTAGAAAATAGACATTGCATGTGAATGAAGCCTTAGGGTGATATGGTTTAAGTACGGCATTACGCTATGTTATGGTCTGAATTATGTTTACGAATTATATTCTTCCAACACTAGTAATTATCCCTCCCAACTCTTCCATACGACAAAAACCAGTTCTATTGCAAATCTAAAAAAGAATTGATAAAATAAAGTAAAAGGAAAATTAAAAAGTGAGTCATTAGTAAAAATGGTTAAAAAAATTAAAGGAAGAGTCAGTAGTTTGAGGAAAATAATTTGAATATATATCTTGAATTGTTAGTGCAACAAGTGTGCCCTCATCCAGTTTTCTGTGCATGTTGATGTGAAGTGATTACAAGTTGGTGTATATTCTGCCAGTTATTATCCCTCCTCCAAACTCTTCCACATAACCAAAGGCAGTTCTTTTGAAAATCGAAAAAAAAAAAAATGAAAGAAATAAAGTAAAAGAGAAATTAAAAGGGGGGACTCAGTAGTTGGATAAATATAATTTGAATATATTGAATTCTTTATGTGTCAAATGTCCTTCACACCAGTGTTCCCTACGTGCCGATATGAACTGATGTGTCAAATTACAAAGCCAAGCGAGGCCTGAATCCACCGCAATGTGAGACGTTCACACTAATTTCACACCCTGGTTCACCGTCTGTTTGCACACACACCCCAAAACAATACCACTTGTTTTGAATTTTGCAGCCATTTAGTCATTCCCTGCTCTTAAAAGTTGAATGCTTCAGCATAACTGGGCTGTTGTTTGTTGTGTTGTCGGCTTTGTTGTGTCCTGTGTTGTTGGAAAGAAAGGTGTATTTCTGCTGGGGGGCAGTGGTTGCTTGCTCTTTTAATTTCATAGCATGCTGGTATCCCACGGCACCTGATGAAGTTCAGTTAACGGCATGTTTGCTGATTGCTATCAGTTCTGAAAGCTAACACAGCTGTTTCATAGTGACTTTACATTGTGTTTATTCGGTCATAGTTAAATGGCTACATTTGAAACTTTCAAACTTTTCAGAAAGTTGGGTGTGATGTATTTTCTTTTGAAATTTCAAAATTGGATAGGAAAAAATAGCTCTTTTTCATTTAAACTTAATCATGGGTTTCTGTTGATTCAATTTTATAGTCAGAATCATAACACGTGAAAGATAATATTTCAAATGAAAACTTTTTGAACAGTCAAGAAGTAAAGAGAAAGATTATATCAGTTTTTCATAAAAAAAACACTGGAAAGTTGAACAGATTTATAGAGTTGCTAAGAATTGTTGCAGATATCCCATTAGCTCTTACACAAACTTTAAAAAATTGTATGACGTAAAACTGTTTCACAATATAATCAGGTTTTCTATGCTGTCATTGGCATGCCTTTCCAGCTGTATTTTGGCCTGAAAAATGTCATAATTATTTGCATGCTTGCAAAACATGCCTCTGTTTTCAGACCAAGCTGGTAGACATTAACAATAAAGCACTGGTAAAAAACTATGAAACATTTTTCATTTTTTTCTGCAAAAGTAAACTGCCATTTAAGTTTTTTGAGATTTGGGTAATGCAAGTGCATTTGTAAAACCTCCAGTACATTACTTTGGACTTTGATTGTTTAATTGATTGATTATGTGTGTGCGTGCCAGATTTAAAGAAATTTATCCACTTGGGAAAGTTAATAAAGGCTTTATTTTCCAAGCTGCACCTAAAACTTGTATTTTAATTTTATCATTTTAGGTCATCAAATGAGCCAGAATGAACAGGTTAACCAAAGAATCTTTCTTAATCAATATGTGAATAAGAAACTGGACACATTGACCACAATGAATGGAAACCATTCCTGGAGTCAGTTCCAAGGTTCCTCAGGAGGGTTGACCAACAGCCAAGATCCCTATAGCTCTGGATTTAACTCATCCTGGAATTATGAATCTGGATCATATCGACAAAACAAAAATTTCAGCCCAAATTCATACGGTTTTACCAGTTCTGGGCCTCATTTAGCTACATATGGGAATGTTAACCAGAGTGGTACCGGAAACCTCACTGGTAGCAATGGGTATACCCAGATGGATTCCATGGGGTACCCACCATTAGATAGCAGCATTGACCAATACAAGCCAGTGTCTACAGAACTCAAGGAACACCGCGAAAGGATTGCTCAAATTGACCAGCAGTTGCTGAGTTTAGATAAAGAGATTATGAGCTGTGACGGCCAGGAGAGATGGAAAGGACTCCCACAGGAGCAGCCATCAGTGAATCTGTACCCATACAATACAATGTCTATGGGTAATTCCGTAAGGTCCAACACATCGCAGATATACCCTCATGGAAACCTTCAGACAGATTCGTCATTTCTTTCAAAGTCATCACTAAGGGAGTCATCTGCAGGAGATTATAATAGTTTTGCTCATGAAGGAATGAATTCTACTCATAATTATGACCACTCTGTGCCAAGGTTAAATACTTTTATGTCTAGTAGTCAGACTACTGACCCAACCTTGACCTTGAGTTCGTTTGAAGGTCAGGGTAAAACTCATACAAAAATGAATGGAAGTCCCAAGTGCTCACTAAATATCCCAAAGATAGTCCAAAGACAAACAACAACAGCATTAGCAGAAAAATCAGGGAATTTTACATCTACTGCCATACAGACTAGCCCAAATAAGAGTGACCTTGACATTGCACCAAATGACCTCAGCTTAGCCCTTACTCCTGCTAAGGGCTCTCAAGGCTCCAGAGTTATGTCTTCACATAAGTTGGGTATAGGCCCCAATGTTAAAGGGCGTATCGTTCAGTCCAATCTTCCATTGGATGATTTATCGCCACTTTTCTCCCAGGCCACACCCCTTAAACTGTCTACAGGGTTACCCACAAAAAGCGGGTCTCATCTACCTCAACCCTTGTCTAAAGGAGTAGCCATGTTGGAAGACAAAAGACCAGCAAGAGATTCAGGAATGAAATTGTCTGATGACAAGAGGGTTACTCCCTATAAGCACAGCTCTCGCCACCAAAGAAGCTGGAGTTCACCTCGATTAAGCTTCGACTCCGATGAGAGTTTATCATCAGAGGAGGATGTAGATTCTCTTCTGAACCGCTCGGTTGAGCTCCAGTCGCACATCCGAGTTTCATGCGACGAGACTGATGCTTATCAGCCACTGTCGCCCACGGGTTGGAGGGGTTATTCACCCTCACCGACACAGTTTGCACGGAGTCTGCGACGCACTCACTCCGTGGAGAGTATTGTGGGAAAGTTTGATACTGACAGTAATTCTTTCACTATTACTTCAATGAGGACCAACTTGCGCTGGGAAGATGCATATGTCTATGGTTCAAGAAGCCCGTCCATGGTGAGTTTGCTGATCTTTATTCTGCTTGTATTTTGTCCATCAAGTTTTTTGGGAATATCAAGAATTCCAGAATAACTTATTATATTTAGAATTCAGTGTAGAAATTTAACTCTTTTCAAAATGTTTTTTCTATTTGCACAATTTATTTTGCATTTGATTCTTTATCATGAAACCCTTCAGAAACTAATTTTCTATTATAATTATCAGGAAATAGTCTTATGTTGGGCATCTTTTGAAACTGATGAATTGTTTTACATTCTGTGTGCCTGATTTGCTTAGTTATCAATTATAGTTAAGATCTTTTAGATGTATTTTCCATGTCCCATCTGAAAGTCCTGGTAAGGTAAAAGGTTATGATGGAATATCCACTTCATCTGACCCATGCTAAATTCTTATATACCAATACACAGTTCATTCATCTAAACTCAGATCTCCACTACAAAAGAACCATGATGATAAGACTGCACTATCATTAAAGTCTAAGTAGATGACAAACAAAGAAGTAATTAAAGTTGTACAAAGACACAGTTAAGGTTGAAATCAATGAGACACTGGCACTACTGTGCTAACATGAAATCCGCACACACATNCTAATATGAACAGTGCATTTTATTCTCGCTTACATCGCGAACGATCTCCCGCTAAAGATATGAAGATTGCCTTTTCGTCTCTCTCGAATCGCAAACGATCTCCCGCTGGTGATCTTACGCGAATGGAGTCTGCTACAAATATGAAAATTATCTTCTCGTCTCGTTTGGATCGCGAACGATCTGTTGACGATATTACGCAAACGATTCTCCGCTGAAGATATGAAAATTGCCATCTCGTCCCATTCGCATTGCGAACGATCTCCATGTTCGAGCCAGGTAACCGTTAAATGGTCCTAAATTGAACATGGCCATGAATAGAAGTGACAGGTACATTTCCCTTCGAGATAATATCTTGATTTTTTCATTGTGTCTTCCTCATTTAGGACAGCCGCCGATAACAATAACGGCGTTACAAATGACAGAGCCGCGGCCTGTGTCTTCTATTTGCCGCCTTGAGCCAGGTAATAGTAATAAAACTAAAGACAAAAGGCCGACGTTCCCGCAATTGAGAACGGGAATTCACATCTAAACCATCTATATTGTGAATGACCGCTCGCAGGGGCGCACTATTGTTCCTATCTCCCATTGAGAGTGTTATCGGCAATGATATCCTGATCGTATCATTGTCTTGAATCAACTGACGCATTTCATTTATGTTTGAGCTGGACAACGCGGCCATATTTGGCGACGAACTTTTCAAAAATTATCGAGTACCTCATTTTCAAGGTCGACGAAGTTTTCAAAGGGAAAAAAATTACGTCTGCGGAAAATCGTCGGCCGACGAAATTTTCAAGAACGACGAAATTTTCAAGACTTTACCGTACTTATTGATGGTTGGTAGTATTTTCTCTTTTCTAAGACTCCAGATTTTACTTTTTATAGTTAGGGAGAGTGTTATTATAGCATTTTGTTTAGTTGAAATCTTACATTGAAGTTCTGTTTAAAAGTTATAAGAAAGCTTTTATCCAATCTTAATGCAGATGCTTTGTGTATTCTGTTTATTCACCATGCTTACATTTATTTTAGGCAAAACAAATACATTCAAATTTCATTTTCAAACAACATAAGGGTTTCTGCAGCTTCTATGAAATGACCTATGTAAACTGAGATATTCGGTTCAATTTTTTGTCGTAATCTGCTGTAATTTACATAGTGCAAGCAAATAGTTTTCATTTTTTTACTTCATTGGGTACTTAGGGTGATATGGTTTAAGTACAACATTACAGTGTGCTATGGTCTGAATTATGTGTACGAATTATATTCTTCCAACACTAGTAATTATCCCTCCTCCAAACTCTTCCATACAACAAAAACCAGTTCTCTTTTTAATTTAAAAAAAATGGTAAAAAAAATGGTTTAAAAAATAAAAGGAGGAGTCAGTAGTTTGATGAATATAATTTGAATATCTTGAATTGTTAATGGGACAATTAAGTGTGCCCCCACCCAGTTTTCTGTGCATGTTGATGTGAAGTGATTACAAGTTGGTGTATATTCTACCAGTTATTATCCCTCCTCCAAACTCTTCCATACAACAAAAACCAGTTCTTTTGAAAATCTAAAAAAAAGAAATGAAAAAAATAAAGTAAAAGAGAAATTTAAAAGGGGGGAGTCAGTAGTTGGATAAATATAATTTGAATATATTGAATTCTTTATGTGTCAAATGTCCTTCACGCCAGTGTTCCCTACGTGCCGATATGAACTGATGTGTCAAATTACAAAGCCAAGCGAGGCCTGAATCCACCGCAATGTGAGACGTTCACGCTAATTTCACACCCTGGTTCACCATCTGTTTGCAAACACACTCCAAAACAATACCACTTGTTTTGAATTTTGCAGCCATTTAGTCATTCCTTGCTCTTAAAAGTTGAATGCTTCAGCATAACTGGGCTGTTGTTTGTTGTGTTGTTGGCTTTGTTGTGTCCTGTGTTGTTGGAAAGAAAGGTGTATTTCTGCTGGGGGGGGGTGGTTGCTTGCTCTTTTAATTTCATAGCATGCTGGTATCCCACGGCACCTGATGAAGTTCAGTTAACGGCATGTTTGCTGATTGCTATCAGTTCTGAAAGCTAACACAGCTGTTTCATAGTGACTTTACATTGTGTTTATTCGGTCATAGTTAAATGGCTGCATTTGAAACTTTCAAACTTTTCAGAAAGTTGGGTGTGATGTATTTTCTTTTGAAATTTCAAAATTGGATAGGAAAAAATAGCTTTTTTTCATTTAAACTTTATCATTGGTTTCTGTTGATTCAATTTATAGTCAAAATCACAACACTTGAAAGATAATGTTTCAAATGAAAACTTTTTGCATAGTCAAGAAGTAAAGAGAAAGATTATATCAGTTTTTCATAAAAAAACACTGGAAAGTTGAACATATTTACAGTTGCTGAGAATTGTTGCAAATAATCCATTGGCTCTTACACAAACTGAAAAAAAATCATATGACGTAAAACTGTTTGAAAATTAAGTTTCACAATGTAATCAGGTTTTCAATACTGTCATTGGCATGCCTTTCCAGCTGTATTTTGGCCTGAAAAAATGTCATAATTATTTGCATGCTAGCATAACATGCCTCTGTTTTCAGACCAAGCTGGTAGACATTAACAACAAAGCACCGGTAAAAAACTATTAAACATTTTTCATTTTTTTTTTTCAGCAAAAGTAAACTGCCATTTAAGTTTTTTGAGATTTGGGTAATACAAGTGCATTTGTAAAACCTTTAGTACATTACTTTGGACTTTGATTGTTTAATTGATTGATAATGTGTGTGGGTGCCAGATTTAAAGAAATTTATCCACTTGGAAAAGTTAATAAAGGCTTTATTTTCCAAGCTGCACCTAAAACTTGTATTTTAATTTTATCATTTCAGGTCATCAAATGAGCCAGAATGAACAGGTTAACCAAAGAATCTTTCTTAATCAATATGTGAATAAGAAACTGGACACATTGACCACAATGAATGGAAACCATTCCTGGAGTCTGTTCCAAGGTTCCTCAGGAGGGTTGACCAACAGCCAAGCTCCCTATAGCTCTGGATTTAACTCATCCTGGAATTATGAATCTGGACCATATCGACAAAACAAAAATTTCAGCCCAAATTCATACGGTTTTACCAGTTCTGGGCCTCATTTAGCTACATATGGGAATGTTAACCAGAGTGGTACCGGAAACCTCACTGGTAGCAATGGGTATACTCAGATAGATTCCATGGGGTACCCACCACTAGATGGCAGCATTGACCAATACAAGCCAGTGTCTACAGAACTCAAGGAACACCGTCAAAGGATTGCTCAAATTGACCAGCAGTTGCTGAGTTTAGATAAAGAGATTATGAGCTGTGACGGCCAGGAGAGATGGAAAGGACTCCCACAGGAGCGGCCATCAGTGAATCTGTACCCATACAATACAATGTCTGTGGGTAATTCCGTAAGGTCCAACACAGCGCAGATATACCCTCATGGTAACCTTCAGACAGATTCGTCATTTCTTTCAAAGTCATCACTAAGGGAGTCATCTGCAAGAGATTATAATAGTTTTGCTCATGAAGGGATGAATTCTACTCATAATTATGACCACTCTGTGCCAAGGTTAAATACTTTTATGTCTAGTAGTCAGACTACTGACCCAACCTTGACCTTGAGTTCATTTGAAGGTCAGGGTAAAACTCGTACAAAAATGAATGGAAGTCCCAAGTGCTCACTAAATATCCCAAAGATAGTCCAAAGACAAACAACAACAGCATTAGCAGAAAAATCAGGGAATTTTACATCTACTGCCATACAGACTAGCCCAAATAAGAGTGACCTTGACATTGCACCAAATGACCTCAGCTTAGCCCTTACTCCTGCTAAGGGCTCTCAAGGCTCCAGAGTTATGTCTTCACATAAGTTGGGTATAGGCCCCAATGTTAAAGGGCGTATCGTTCAGTCCAATCTTCCGTTGGATGATTTATCGCCACTTTTCTCCCAGGCCACACCCCTTAAACTGTCTACAGGGTTACCCACAAAAAGCGGGTCTCATCTACCTCAACCCTTGTCTAAAGGAGTAGCCATGTTGGAAGACGAAAGACCAGCAAGAGATTCAGGAATGAAATTGTCTGATGACAAGAGGGTTACTCCCTATAAGCACAGCTCTCGCCACCAAAGAAGCTGGAGTTCACCTCGATTGAGCTTCGACTCCGATGAGAATTTATCATCAGAGGAGGATGTAGATTCCCTTCTGAACCGCTCAGTTGAGCTCCAGTCGCACATCCGAGTTTCATGCGACGAGACTGATGCTTATCAGCCACTGTCACCCACAGGTTGGAGGGGTTATTCACCCTCACCGACACAATTTGCACGGAGTCTGCGACGCACTCACTCAGTGGAGAGTATTGTGGGAAAGTTTGATACTGACAGTAATTCTTTCACTATTACATCAATGAGGACCAACTTGCGCTGGGAAGATGCTTATGTCTATGGTTCAAGAAGCCCATCCATGGTGAGTTTGCTGATCTTTTTCTGTAATTTATTCTGCTTGTATTTTGTCCATCAAGTTTTTTGGGAATATCAAGAATTCCAGAGTAACTTGTTATATTTAGAATTCAGTGTAGAAATTTAACTCTTGTCAAAATGGGAAGTATTTTCTATTTGCACAATTTATTTTGCATTTGATTCTTTGTCATGAAACCCTTCAGAAACTAATTTTCTATTATAATTATCAGGAAATAGTCTTATATTGGGGGAGGTACCACTAATTACAAGTTGGGATATTTAGCTTAATCAAAAAAAAAAAAAAACACAGTGGCATCTTTAGAAACTGGTAAAGTGTTCTTCCTTCTGTGTTTCCTATTTTTCTTGGTTTTTAAGTGAATTAAGAACATTTAGATGTATTTTCCACATCCCAGCCGTAAGTCCTGGTAAGGTAAAAGGTTATGATGATATATCCACTTCATGTGACCCATGCTGAATTCTAATATTCCAATACACAGTTTACAGTTCATTCATCTAAACTCAGATCTGCACTACAAAAGAACCATGATGATAAGACTGCACTATCATTAAAGTCTAAGTAGATGACAAACAAAGAAGTAATTAAAGTTGTACAAAGACACAGTTAAGGTTGAAATGAATGAGACACTGACACTACTGTGCTAACATGAAGTCCGCACACACCCAACAAAGACCTGAGAGCCCACTACGGACAGGAACTGTTTGTAGAAATCACTTACGCCATTCTTCACGCTCATTGATCGAAGTGGTGTGAAATTGATCTGTCCGAGAGAGAACAAATTGACATAAGACAGGAGTAATAATTGTTGGTAGCTTTATGCAAGGGTCGGGAGATCTGGCACGGTTCAGTTCTTCTATTAAGTTTCCTGCATTTATCAAAGTGAATTACTGGTAAATTGATTAAGTTGTTTGATGCTGCATTTTGGACCTGAACCGTCATGGGCTTTTTTTTTTTTACATGTCTGACCACTCCTTTAAATACAAGGCTGGAAAGCAGCTAAATTTTATCTTGGTTTGTCTCTTCCATATCATTTTCTATTGTGAATTTTATGTATTTATTTTTTTTTCCTGTTAAAATTGATTTATCAAAATCCCCTTTGTAGCACCTATGGTTATTTTTTCAATAGGAGAAAATTGTGAATTTAACAAAAATGTTTTTAAGTCATAATTTCTATGAAATAAAAATTTCTTTTGAGTGGTAGCACATATATTAAAAAGCAGCCTACTCTTTAGTAATATTATATGCAGTAAAAGCACCACAAATGCTGAAAGTTTGATATATTTTTTCCCATTGAAAAGATTAAGTAATTACAGTTTGTCTGATGTAAGAGAATAATTAATGGATACATTCTGAAGTTAATCAGCTGAGTACTAGGGTATGTTATTGATGTAATTGGTCATTGTTTGTGTCAAATTGTTATATATGTCATTACATGGCTGAAATCACTGCTATGATTATGAAAAGAAAAGGGCATTTGTTTTATCTAAGACTATTTCACACACAGTGCTCAGAATAACAGCAGAAAAATTGATTACCCCATTATAAAAAAAGGTATTCAGTGTGTAAAGAAATTGGTGTTACTCATTTTGTAAATTTCAATAAGATAAGTTGTTTGTTGAAAAACATTTAATATAATTTACATGTCAAAATATTTAACTCTAGGTGGAAATCTTAACACTGTGTTTAAAAAATTTATCTAAGGAGACTGAGGGGCTGAAGTTGTATTGGACCCTGTTCCCATACCTAGATTGATCTAACAGGACTAACCCATCTCTGAGGGTTTTCTCAATAAATTACATTCAGCTTACTAGTAAGCAGCTCTGATAACTGGTAAGCCTACTGAGGCTGTTAGGAGGAAATTAACTATCGTTTACAGGGGCGGACCCAGAGCTATTTTCTGACAGTCTTCCAAATTATCTTTGTTGATTCATCCTCTAATTTTGACCGTCTTCCAAAATGAAAAATTGGATACCCGTCAATGTAAACTTGAAAATCTGACCGTCTTCCGGAAGACCCAGAAGACGGTCTAAATCCGCCCCTGGTTTAGCAGCTTCAGTTGGCATGCCAGACATCTAAACCGCTTAAGCTGAGAACAATTTAGCAAGAATCCCCTCATAGATAGGTCAATCCTGCTAGATCAATCTACTAGTAGGTATGGGAATGGGGTCTTAGATGGCAGTGATGGCTTGGCTGTAGGTAAAAACTAAAATATTGATGGAGTCACCAAGGGCTGTGTATCCAGGCAGACCTGGCTAAGCAACAAAAAGTCATGAAATAAAAGAAAAAAAAACTAAACTTGCTCCCAGGGTCCTCCACGTATTGAAGCACTGTGGGTTTAGCTATACTCCGCTGAACTCTCTCCCTTTCATCTTCACCACAATAATACAATCAGCAAGTTTGTGTCAACTGCCTTCTAATTCCTTTAACAAGTGATGCAAGAAATATTTTAATCAGGTAACAAGTTTTGTCAAAGCCCGGTAGCGCTCTCCCTCCTCGAGTTACTCTGCAAATTCAAAGGTGACGCTGCGACAATGAGCCACAAGTAACATGCGAGCCGATATTGATTCAGAGCAAACAAAATAAAGCATATTACGTAAACATGTTGAAAAAATAGGCGTGCAGTAAATGGAGGCAAGACCTCATGGAAAGGGGCGACCCCAATCTCTGGAGGTCACGATGTTAGCATGTGCTTGAAGGATTATGTTCAAGTTAATAACGCTGTGGTTTACTTTGATATGAAAATTAACACCCGTTACATTAATTTTGACTACTTGAAGCAGTTAGATTTTGATAAAAGGGTAATACTGGACTCACTCTGGTATTATAATTTAAAACCAATTATGATTATGTTATAACCATGGCAACAGGTTGCCAAGTTTTAAAGTGATTGAGGATAATTTATTTCAGTTAAACTACCTCAAAGTTACATGTCTAAATTATTTCTCTAGTTATGGAGTTTTGTATAGAAATGTTTTTTTTTACATTTCAATCAAGTTCCAGTTTGGCGCACATGTTGTTTACATAGAGCCTCAGTTTTGTAATGGATTATGGGGTAATTTTTTTCTTAAACTCCTTAGTTGTATAATTGAATTTTGTGAGATTACATTACAATATGCAAAGGTCATAGCAAAGCACATTCAGGGTTCTGCACCAGCTTTGTTTATCCTATCTCCCTAGCAACATAGAAGAGAAATGGTTTTTTGGGGGGTTTTAGTAAAGGCGACAGAGAAACGTTTTGATACTTTGGTAAGTGAATTTTTTCTTTTGTTTTCCTCTAGGTTTCCCCTACATTGAGGGACAATCTCAAAGGTAGATGTTATTCGCCAAGCTCAAGGTATGTGCCTTCGTTTTTTTATGCCTTTTACTTCCACTGGAAAAAACTATTAAATCAGCTTTAGTTTAATGTAAATTCCTTAAAGCTCATTTCAAGATATATAGTTTTGAGAGACATTTCAAGCGTGGCAGTCAAATTCAAAGGTCGGAGTAAATGAAATAGTTCGACTTTTGTACTGAGCATGGTTGCACTGGGTCAGAGCTTGCTATATGTTTCCACCCTTCTTTAGCTGATGTTAAACATGTTACGAGGAAGGCATGCTGTGATGGCAAAGCATTACCCTGTTTCCTAGAATTACGCTCAAACCAAATTGAAAGTGTTAAAGTAATCTGCTTGCCTTACCCTTAAGATACATTTTGAAAATAATTTAATGTGATTAGCCATTGCCTAATTCAAAGAATGCCCTTCATTCACTTGTTGAACCTCCAATTCTGTATTTTCAAGCATCTTTTGTCATTTCCTTAGTACATTTCCTTTTTTTTTTTTTTTTTTTTTTTGCAAGAAAGAACTGGTAGGGAAAGGTTATGACAACTTGCTTGAAATCTTAGTGTGGATTGCTTGTGATATTTAATTTTCCAAAAAGTCAGCAAAGAAAAAAAAGCAATTTGTCCAATTGGTTGTTTGTTTCTTTAACAGCAAATGATGTGCAATCGTGATTGCCAGGGTATCCATTAAGTGTCCAGTTACTGGTCACTTGTGTCCCGTACCTGACTGTGATTAGCACCCTTAGGCATGCCTCCCCCTTTTTCTCTTTCTATTTCTGATATTCTAAGTATAGAACTGTTACATCTCTTCCCAAATTACTTGGGGGCATTTTGCTATTGTGATACAGGCTGGTGTTTTGGGGGTTCTCAAATTAAAGCATTGTATACTAGCTGACTGTTGAAATGTTATGTGACTCTCAGTGCTTCTTTGGTTGTCCAGACTATTGTCCTGTGCCCAGCGTGTTGATGCTGGCGGAGTTCACTGGCCATGTTTTACAAAGATTGTGGAAAATACCCCGTGGCTACGGCAGGCTTGATTCCTGCAGCCATTAACTAATGCCCAAAGGCATGGCAGTGGTTGCTTTCAATGTGACTTGCGACAAAGGAGACCTATGATTCAGGCAGTTTTTATTCGTTTTTTACATTAATGAAATATGACTTCTGATCCTTGAAGGTGACAAGTGGGCATTGACTCCAGTTGTAGACCAAAGTGGGCCTCACATAATGTAATTGATATCTTAAAAAGAGTAAAAGTTGAAAAATATTAAAAGCACATCTAGAAATCCTGGCTTGAAATTGAGGGATTGCAAAGATAATTGAACATGATATCCACACGTTTTACTCTGAAAATAATGTTGCTTTATTACCCCCAAGATGAATGCAAAGGTTAGCTGTAATTATTGGCTGATTGCACTTTGCTGCTGAGAAGATGTATGTCAGAAACTGTCACAGGACAGTTCATTTTAGTATACGTGTCACATGACTTGTGTCATATGACTTTAAGTTGTCAGTTTCTGTAGAAATACTGAAGGCATTCTGTCTTTTGCTCTTGGTCTTCTGCTTTACTTGAGTTTGTGAGTGCAGAGATAGATTTTTGAGAGAAAATTAAATACATTTACTTCAACGGAATGGCTGATTATCTTCATAGATTTCAAAGTAAAACTTTCAAGAATATGCAATCTTCATAACAGCTTAAATTCTTTCAAGTATAGAAATCTTGTCCACTCTTGTCAATTAAGTCCATTGATCACACTGACCCAAAAACACGGAGAGTGAATTTAGAATAACTTAAGCCATAGTCTGAATTACTGATTTTAGAATGTCAATATTGTCTCTTTGCTAAGTGAATTTCCTGGATTTTGTTTCCCAATTCCTGCAGTTGTTTCCTGGAAAGTGCAGATGAAAGAATTGTGGTGGTATGGATTAAGAGGCATGGAGTCGATAACTGTGATGCTTTATCATGTCAGGAAATTCAGCGAGGTGCGCTTTTAGAAAGCTGTCCATTATCGTGAACACACGTACATGCTGCAGGAAATTCAGCAGAAAAGATTCCATGTTCATTGCAGTCATTTTCACTTGTCTGGGGTGGGTTTTAGTGTTTGTGTATATTTGATTTTAGTATTTCTCAGTGCTTTGGCAGTGTGTCTTCTCTGGTTATATTTAGTTTTCTATGTAGAGGACAGGATGTTTAAAACAGAAGGCACATATTTTTCACTTCTCATCTTTCCTTCCCAGTTTTAAGTTGTTTGTTTTCCAAGATGTAATTCTGAACCACAAAAGAACTTTAGCCTTATATCTGGTTTCAAAGTTTTATACTAGAATTTTAGTCTGCTTTGGTCATTGTGTTGTACATGTTTTATAACAGGAACAACAAGGCTAATATTTCAGATGTATACTTTGTATAAGACTTGGGTTCCCATAAGCTTATAGTACTAGCAGGATCGTTCTAACTCTGAGGGGATTCTAGCTAAATTGCATTCAGCTTAAGAGACTTAAATGTATGTCACGCCCACTAAAGCTGCTATGGGGGTAATTAACTTTCGTGCACACTTAAACTGAATGCAATTTAGCGAGAACCCCCTCGGAGATAGATTGAATCCTGCTAGTCGGATAGGGATATGGGAATGATCCATAAGTGAACCAATTTTGGTTTTTTATCTCTGAAATAAAGTTCAAACCAGTTTACAAGTTAAAGATCCTTAAATGTATGTAAAACTGGTCCCAAAACCCCGAAATGTAGCCCTCTCTGAAGTAATAGATATTTGAGGACAGAAAAGAAGAAATGTGGAAGATTTTTCAGCTGTCATCTTCTTACCTTAGACTTGTTGGTTTGTCATATTAATTTCTGATTTTTACTACAGGACTTATGTTTTTCTGTTAAAATAAAAATGTATGTGGTTTTAACTGATTTCTCCTCAGTTGAAACCAGTTGTAATTGTTTTCAGAAATCAAGTGAATGAGCTCAAGAAGTATTTTATTAATAATAGCAAATTGATATAAATATTGACATACTTTTGTAACAACTGCATTTCTTAACAAGATTAATTTTGATTTTCTCCATGATATTTGCACTATGGGGTAGTGTTGAGACCAAAGCATTTGTTTGCAGTTTAAAACCGGGGTCTGACTGTGTAAATTTAACACTTTTTCAGAAGTGTTTCTGTTATTGATATTACTCGTATTACACATTGTATCACTGCAAGGAGCCCCAAAATTTGTTTCTGTGTGGTAAAACAAAAGCAGAACAAAACTCCCCTGCAGATATATACAAACAGGATAGGGTTACCAAGTCTGTATGGTGCGGTTAACGGCACTGACTTGTTACAACCTGGCGTTAGCCCCAGACGGCTGCCATTGAAAACAACCCAGCTTTGTAAATTGTAGCAAAAACATATCAATATCGGGTCAAACAATTTTAATGACTGTTTTTAATGTGGTAGCTGAGGTGAAAGGCAGGGAGTAAGGTACAGTGGTTTTTCTGACCCCCGCATCTATTTGACTTTCCGGCTGAAAAGTTGATGATTTAAAGGAGACGTGATACGCACAGGCAGCATAAATAGTATTTACTCTTGCTGGACAATCAACATTTTTATGCCCTTTTATTTCTCTTTCATACTTCTGGTTCATTGGCCATTCAGACATATTTCTTAAATCATGCTACACAATAAAACGTGACGTTGGTAAACTTTAATGTTTTCACTTTTACCAGTGGTATTTTGTCTCAAGGTGATTTTAATTTTCGTTAATTCATAACAAGGTGAAGATTGTATGACTTTACCTTGGTTGGCAGCCAATCCTGGTTTTAAATTAATGGTGGTTAATCGGTTTGTTTTCATATTTTGTTATCATTTTATCTGAGAAATGCTCAACTTTAAACTGATATGACTTTGCCTTGGGCTGTACAGCTGTTATTGCCACAACTGATGTGAGATAATATCTAGATTTAACAGATGATTAACACCATATTATTTTGGAAATTTTATAAAATATCTCTTGGCGATCCTTAAACCCTCTTTACTTGAATATTACAAAAAGAAAAGTTGGATGAGTAAAGCTGCTAAAATGTATGTAACTTTAAGACTCTAAAGCAGATCTTGATTTCTGTTGTAATGCTTAAGCTTTAGCATGTGGCACCTGTTTTAACCAAAAATTTTCCCAAAAAGGGGTCTCAGTCTTTTGATCAAAATTTTAGCCTGCTTTGACTCAAGATAAATAGTCTTTTTTAATGAAATACAGTGCCTGTTTTATACCATTAAATAGTACTATGTTTAAGTTGACTGCTACGGATCCCAAATTGAAATAAAATAATTTTGGGGGTCTAGAACTTCAGACTTCTTTTCTGTTTTAAGTTATGTGAAACTTATGAAACTGGACACTGTTTTAAATTAGTAGAATCCTGATAGTACATTTACTTTTCAACTCATTTTATATCTTTTTATAATGTCAGCCTCAGTCTGTCAAATACATCAACTGTTATGTGTCACTGAACTAGAATCCAATCAGCTGTTTGACTGAATATGTTTTCTACCTTATATTTCATTATAGTAACAGTTACATTACAGCAACAATTACGCTAAAATTACAATTGACTATTTCAGCAGCAGCACTTGTATGCCAAGATCTACGACAGAGGAGAGCACGAATGGTACGTCATCGTCGCAGTGGGCCATACGACTGATTGAGGCTCTTCACAACACAGACCCTGTAGCCAGACAGTGCTTAGTGTTGAAGGTATGGAACAAGTCGTGGATATTTAGATATTATCACAGATAAAATATCAAATAAAAATTCCGCCACAGTATTTGTCTGTATTTGTCAGGGTAACAATAAATTCATATACAAACAAATACAGTTACTATTTTTACTATTTCAAACATTTTGCAAAAATTAACATGTGAGCATAAACTTAGAATACCATAAAAGCAGTATTCTTTGATTAGAACTCTGACCTTTTCCCCCACCTAATATTAGAAATAACACCAAATTGATTTATGAATTTCAAAAAAGTTCAGGAAAGTTCATAGCTTTAGTTATACGGAAAATTAAATCTTTCAGGCAATCGCTTGCTATTGATAGAATTTTGATTAATATGTCCAAAACTGTGCCAGTCTTTTTAGTATGTTCCCCCAGTTTATCAAAACCACATTGAATGGCTTTACCTGATGTAATATTAATCATATACACCCTCAAGATTAGTATTTATATAAAACTGTAAGGCAGTTGATAGCTCTCTAGTTTTTAAAATAAAGCTTTTATTATAAGGACCCTGTTGATTATGAGTTTGAATTATTTGTTGTTATTGTAATATTCATGTGAAACATTGTTATGAAACATTGCGTATTTAATGAATGGTAGACCAGTATAGACTGTACTAGCTCTAAGCTGCTATTGTTGTTATTCATATATGTGATCAAGCAGCGATGATTGTTTACTATTGGAAATTAGGCTGCTCTGTAAATATCTCCTTTATTGTAGCTGTACCTGGTTATTTACTAGGCAGGTGTGAGCTGAAAGGTGTTAATTAATCTTAGAACTGTTTAATTTGATAGGTTAATACACCTTGTGTGAATTGAATGAGTGAATTGAATTTGTCAGGAAATAATTCAGAATTGGAAGGAAATTTGCTGTTACATTGAAAATGAATTAATGCCATATTTGTTTTATGTGTAAATGGTTCACTTAATCTAAAAGCAAACTACTAAGTAATGAACTGGATACAAAATGTCTCAACATCATATCCAAGATAAATGTGCTAAGAAGAGAAGAGAGAAAATGAAAGATTGGAGTTTTTGGTTTGAAACGAGCTTGAAATTTACATGAAAATTTTAATCCACCTGCATGAAATTAACAAGCATGAAATGAACTAAAGTGAAATCAACAAGTGTGAAATTTACAACCGTGAAATTTACCTGCAGGAAACAAACAACCATGAAATAGCGACGTAACTTGTTAGCCGTTATAATGTTTTCTTTTCTTCTGGTTATTGATAAGAAAAATAGCACGAGGAGTGTGATTGAAAATGCCGGCTTCTACTTAAATAATCCCACCCAACCGAGACCGCGTAATCAAAACAAAATTTACCATTCGTCTACTTTTCAAATGTGTTTATACAATCTTTATATTGGCGAGCTTCAAGTAGCTGACACAATTGCCATGTGATTCTCATGTAATTTAATGGCATTGTGAATTGGTTTGTAGAGTCAGTAGATTGCTGCCTTCTACCATGGAAACATTATTTCTGTGATCAATGATTCATGATAGTGCAGAGGTAATTTGTTTCAGGCAGAAAAACATGTTTACTGTTTATGAAAATTATTACTACTTTTTACAACTTCTCCTAGCTACTTTTGGGCTGGAAATTGGATTTTGTTTTCTGAATTGTGAGTAAGATTTGATCCAAACTTCATGAATTCAATTTACAGGTCTTGCAGTTAAGTTGAAACAGTATCTATTATTTACTTTAAATTACTTGTAATAGTTAATGTGTATTTGTAGGCACGGTGCTTTAGAAGATGGCAGAGCTTGGTCAGAGAAACAAGACGACAGAAAACTGATGACAACCAGTAAGTTTTTTTAGGAAAAGAATGTTTCCTCTCACAATGTTATTCCTCAACATAATGGGAAATATCCATAACAACTTGTTAACTTCAGATTATCTGTATATTATATGTTATTATTACATAATATGTATTTTATATGTTATTTTTGTATAAACATTTAAAAAAAAATTCCTTGATTATGAAAGTATAGCAAACAGACAACTTAAAAAACACTTAAAAAGTGTAAGAAGTGAGTAACTGTAATTTATCTGTTGATTAAAATGCTGTTGGAATTCTTTACTACACAAGTCTTTCTTCTCTCTCTAGTGCTATATGTTATTACCATCGAAAACTGCTCGCAAGGTGCTTCAAACATTGGCGAGAGGAGGTAGAAAATGGACGACAGTTGCATGCCGCCATTGCCCTCTACAGGAAACATGCACTGCGCAAAGGAATTCAGGGACTAAGGTTTGCTGTGCAACAGTCACGCCACCTAGAGGATGTTTTAGAGACTAAAATGAAACAGCACTTACTGTCCAAGTATTTCCATGAGGTAAGGCCCAAGTTAACTCAATAGGTTTAACATAACCATTTGGTTTATGGAAGACCACGTGGATTTATTTCCATATTTTTTCACAGTAACATCATGTCTGTTGGGTCGACATCCACAACTGGTCTTCTTATGTGTAATGTACATGTATCAGTAAATATTTCAGAATTTTTTTATTCCCAAACAATTGTTATCTAAATGTATATTGATAACTCTTTTCATATTTGCAAAGAAAAAGGGGGGGGGGTTTAAAGGCTGTAGAAGATTGTTTAAAATTAAAATTAAATCATCATTATCATTTTTGTAATTATTTTAGAATGCAGCTTTTTGTTTATATAATACGAAAAGAACGGCATTTTTAGTTTAGGTTTGTTTTACTGAGTGTAATATAATAATTACACATTTCATTCACTTCATCCAATTCACTTCAGTGGCAGGAGAGAGCCAGTGACAGCAGGGAAAATACTATCCGCAATGCCTTCAATCGCTGGCGGCAGTTTAAGCTGCAGTCAGAGCGTATGAAGCTACTGGAGAACATGGCGGAAAGGCGTCTCCTGTCCAAGGCGTACAGCGTGTGGAAGGGTCACTTCAAGGATCAGCAACAGGAGGGCGTGGCTGCTCTGCACTACAAGTCAGTTTTGAATTTTATATAGTTTTGAACATTTAAGGAATAGATAATTAAATCACGTAATGGACACAGCATGTGATTTAAATGTCCATTCTATAATGTTGTTTAAAACTAAATATAAAACCAAATATTCCCATTGATATTGAAAGAGTTTTATTGTCTACTTGAAAGTAGAAGGATAATGCATCTAGAAATTTTCTCAAACCTGTGTATCTGTTACACACTGATACTTGCCATCATTCACAGTAAAAGTGACAAACTTCTTTGATGATAATATGAATAAAGATTTGTAGTAGAATTGTAACAAACTGCTTGCAAGGTAATTTTGATTACGATATCAAGTTGTTCATATATTTGTTGAAGTTATTCATTATCTCTTGGGTTTTCATTGAGTATGTTTTCCACCCCCCAGGGTCACAGTGCTGGGGAAGGGCTGGAAGGCCTGGAAACACTTCACCACCATCAGTCTAGTCAGGAGTAGGAGGAAAGAAGTCGCCAAGTGAGTTATTTAGGATTTTTACCTTGATTGTAATCTGACTTATCCTTATCACACAAATATGGTTTAGAGGTTGAATAACCAATGATAAAATAACTTTGAAGTGACATCCACTTATCAGTAGTTAATTTCTGATCGTTCCTGAACAGAGGATATTTCCCGAGGAAATGAAAATACAGTGAAGAATTTGACAAATTAAGTCTTTCTTTGAAAGAATGATATAAAACATTCTCTTTATGTAGGATCCATTATGAGGAGCGCCTCCTTCACAGAACGTTCCACCACATGAAAGAGACAGCACAGAAATCTCAGATGGCAGAAATCTTCTACCGTCATCGCCTTCTGGCCAGGATGTTCCGACAGTTCCACGAGGCATCCCAGCTCAGCAAGGCTCATCGACTCAGAGTAATGGCGGAAACTAAGGAGTACAGACGCCTGGTGCTACTTAAGTCTTTCTTTGCTCACTGGAGAGAGGAGTTGCGGGAACAGAGAGCAAATAATGTTGCCAGGAAGAGACTGGAGAGGTATGAATAGAGGGACTGATCTTGTATGAATTCAGGAATATGAATTATCTTCCCCATGGGGGTTTACCTTTTTATATGTGTGAGAATAATCAAGAAAATGGCTTGAATTTGTATGGAGTGTTCCAAAATGAGGATTTCTTGGGAGGTGGCATTTTTACCTTTATTAATTTGTCATAGATTTAATTTTAAACACCCTTAAGTCATGCCGATCTGTTACTTTATGGCTAATATTCTCTGGGGAAAAATGTATGACATATTAACAATTGTGGCCTTTTTCTTTTTCATAGCCGTGCCTTTGAAATCTGGAAACTCAGGTGGCGACGTAACCTGCTCCATCGCCAAGTAAGAGAAACCAGGGCCAACGAGGAGCTAAAACACATGGTGCTACAAGGCTGGCAGGAGGCAGTACGGAGGCAGCGGCAGGATAGGGAGGCAGCAGTGGAACTGCTACAGAAGGTTGTGTGTAGTCACTGGCTGAGAGAGTGGCATGACTACACACAGAGAATGGTGGAAATGAGGTGGGTCTGAAGTCTACAGCAGACTTACTGATCTGCAGACCCATCATACCAGTATGGCTGGCCCATCATAAAAGGAAGCCCCTTAGAGTGCATTTTCAGACATTTAAATCGATCCAACTAGATTGACCTAACTCCTTGGGGGTTCACGCTAAATTGCTGTCAGCCAACCGCGCACAGTAGTTAATTACCCCCTTACAGCTTTTAGTTGGCGGGACAGTAATCTAGTGAGACTCCCCACAGGGATAGATCGATCTAAAATCTGTGGGAATGGGCTCACTGCCTCCACTTGCGCCATTAAAGAGATTAAGTCTCAGCTCCAAGGTTTAATTGCTAGATCCCTGCAGGGACGGTACATGTGGAAATGGAGAGACTATCAGGATATAATAAGCAGCTTCCTTTTAAGTGGGTTGGCCATATTTGATCGACAGATCTATAAGTCCAGGGATCAACTTGTTCTGAATGTGCTCTAATATCCTCTTACATCTTTGCCTGTTACCATATATACAGAGGGTATTTATTGTCATAAAACTTAAGATGAATTTGACAAACTTGGGTTTATAAAAATATCAGGTGCAAAAGATAAAAAAAGGTCAATTGTTCCAATGGTTTGTCAGTTCAGTTGTGTTTAAGAATGATATTTTTGAAATATTTCTCTCCCCTTTACAGAGCCAGTTATGCAGAATTTGTCCAAAAGAGGGCACTGCAGACAAAGCGTCGCTACATGAAGACGTGGCAGGCCCAACTCCACACTAAACTCACACAGCAGAAAGCTAAAGAGTTGTGGACGTTGAAATGTGTGCGGCGTGCAGTGTACAAGTGGCACTCACTGGTATATAGGAGAAGACTGGAGATCATGTTACAGCAGTCCCAGCCACTCAGGGATAGGGCCTTGGTGAAGGGTAAGTGTGCGGAGAGAGAGAGAGAGAGAGAGAGAGAGAGAGAGAGAGAGAGAGAGGGGAGGGGGGATTACAGACAAAATGAAAGAGAGAAGGGGGAGAAAGAGAGACTGCATGGTTTCAAGCTAAAAGAAGGGGAGAGTAGAAATAGAAATGTGAAAAATGTGGATAAAATATGAATATTTGCCATATTTGTTAAAATTTCTTGAAGTTTGGTTTACTTTGTCTACCACAAAATATTCTAGACAAACAAGTCGTATTTAGATAATATTATATGGTGCAGTATTTTTATCCTCACACTGTCAATATTTCAGCCTACCTGAAGAGGTGGATTCATGCCAAGCAGCAGCTAGACTGTGAGAAGGACCGCGCAGACATCGCGTACAGCGCCATGCAGAAGAAGGGTCTGCAGCGGATGTTTGTCCGGTGGAGAATTCTTACGCAGCAGGAGCTGACCATAGCACCTCTCAAGTCTAAGAAGAGGAGGAAAGAGATAGCTAGGTAGGTATCCAGCTGACTCTTACCAGAACATTTCAATTGCCAGCAGAGAGCAGTTTGCTGTAACTTCGCACTGACTGGAGACTGCTAAAATCTGTTTGAGGTGACATGTTAGTCTTCTGACACATTTAGGATCTTAACCAGTCTTTGTATTGGAACACAACTTTGATATAAATATGGGTGTTTGTTTAAGATGGATGTTTGTTTAAGAACTTTTTAACCAACCATTGTTGAGTGTATTTCTGCTTTCTTGCCAAGTGTGAAGTTTTCTTTAATTTTAGCAAAAAATCATTAATACCAAACAGTCCATTCTTAGTGTGACAAATGGCAATACACTAATTTTTTGCACCCTGAGATTGAGATTGTTATCTATTGTGATATCTAATGGTATTTTATACTTATACAGGGTATTTGACAGCTGGAGGGCCAGGGTGCTTACCAAGAGGAAAGGATTAGAACTGAAGGCCAGCTTCCACCATCTGCAAATGCAGAAGATCTTCACAAAGTGGAGGTAAGATCAGTATTTTCACAGGGGACAGTTTGATAATAACATTCTCGATAAGTGAGAATTGGAAGGAATGTTCTTTTGTGTGAGTAAAAAATAAGGAGTTTGAGTTGTAGAAAATTTCATTTTATGTGAAACCTGAATAACAATCAGATAGGTCTTTATTCATGATTACTTTACTTTTAAGTATTCAAAAAAGATGAAAAATTCATAATGTCCATTTATTGTTTTGCTACTTCTGCTTTAGGTTAAAGACCCAAAGTCTTGTTCTCCAACAAAAGGTGGCACTATCGTCCCACCTCCATCTGCTTCGCCAGTGCTTCAGTGGCTGGTGTGAGTTGGTAGAGCGTAGGAAGAACTACGAGAATTTCACCAAGTGTTGCTCCCAGCAACATCTCAGCCGGGCATTCCAGACGTGGAGGTGTAACTTAGGAGAGGTGCGAGCTGAACGAGAAGAAGAGGAAGCTGAGCAGGTAAGAAGGAAAAGAAGGCGCTACTCAAGTCAAAAACATTTTGGCCTGCTAACACCATGGTTTAAGAATCTGCTGGCCCAAAACAAGTATACTGCCCTGTTACTGAATTTGCCACTGGTTTTTTGCATAAGACCTGTGTTAACATTGCAGACTGTTATGTCAGAATTAGAGCATTATAGTATGGCATGGTAATTGAGATTTATGAGAGTATGGGGGTGCATTCAATAACCTTTTATTGAAAATAGTTGGTAAAGATATTTCATATTCCTAACAAAGGTAAGGAAGCATTAAAGCAATGGAGATTTCAAAATTTATTCCACTATGAACAAAACACAATAACATTGTAAAATTTCAATAAAAGAACATTGACAACAAGTGTGACATATATACTAGTCTTGTATGTAATCAGAAATATTTCTTCATGTCTCATATAATTTCCAGGCAAGAGTGAAGACCCTGCTAGCTTCCTGTCTGCGTACATGGCGTGCTAAGCTGTCCCAGCAGCGTTGGTTGGAAGAGACGTTGTTGAAGAGAACTGCAGAGCAGCACTGTGCCAGACTGGTCCGCGGGTGCTTCATCCAGTGGAAGCTGCAGTACCAGGGGGCCGCCAAAGCCAGGTAATGAGGGCACACACCATACAACAACCCAGGCTAGTTTGAGGGGGATTGCAAACACTCAGACTTCCCTAGGCTTGTTTTAAAGATAGTGCTGACCACAGGGAAATTGTCTGAAACCTATATCCTCCTCAGTATATTATGTCAATTTTCATTGTATAGTGTAGAATGGAAAAAATTGGGGATTTGATGCTTTATCATTGTTATTTCTATCAAATGTATTAAGTAAAGTGAAACGTTGCCTGTGGTATCAGATATCTTAAGTACAGAAAAAGTAGGTAATATGAGAATGCATAGAGCTTTTTCTAGTGATTTTCGTAACACCATTTGGCTTTGTAGGTACCTGGAGGAAGAATTAGGTCAGCGTCGCCTGCAGCGCATCTTCAAGGTATGGCAAGACCAGACCAGCCAGTCTTTCCACGACTCCATAGCGCAGTTCCATGCCAATATGGCGGCCATTACCCCACGGGACAGTATGGAGAGGAATGACTCAGTCCTGTCTGGGTTGTCGCAGACGTCGTCCGTCAGCAGTAGTGGCTTCCAGAGCATTCCATGGCAGCAACACAGTGGCATGGGTGAGTATTTGAAATACAGAGAAAGAGGCTGTCTATCTAAAATATAGAGAAAGCGCATTTCCTTCTAAAATCTTAAGTGAGACATGGAATGTGGTTTCTAGGATTTTAGTTGATTTGCATGCCACTGTCAAAATTACAATATCTTAAAAAGTAACAATCCTCTTTTTAATTTGTGTATCCATAGTGCATCATATTGATGGTTTTTCATAAAAGAATCAATTTTTCGTTGCTTGTGTGATTTCCACAACTATCAGAATATAATGTTTATTGTATGATACCTTCACTATTTTCTTATGTCTAATACATCCTTATTTTATGATAAATAATATCCTTATAAATTACATTATTGAATGTCCCTTTCAGCCTACCCCTTGAACGGTCAACTGGACAGTTCAATGTCCACCTCCCCAACACTGGATGGTCAGCACTTTGGCCAGCTACTGATCCAGGATCTGATCCATGTTGGGAAAGATGAGGAGAAAGATGACGTGTTCTCATACCATGAGGTGCTGAGCCAGTCAGACATAGGGTCAGCTGTTAGCACACCACGCTTTAAACTTCTGGACAGTCCTAGGAAAAGGTGATTATTGTCAAAAATAGTATTGTTCACACCTTAAGACCTTTTTGGTATAGTATTGGTATTTAGACTTAAAACTGCCTTTCTTTGTCATATAATACTATTTAAAGATGCATACAAAGTCAATTTTTTGTCACAGAAACCAACCAAATGCCAGCATATAGTTTCAAGTAGTATAACTAAGAGAATTACCAAAAGGCATTGTATAATTTTACCCAAAAATGATGTTTGAACGGATTTTTCTGCTGGCATTCTAAGCTGTATGTCAATGGGGCAGGAAAGTAGGTCACGAAAGTAGGTTAAATTTACAACCATAAATTTAAAGAAAGGAGCAGTCTAAAGGTCTTTTATGGCTTATCGAGTGATCTATTCAGTTTTTTTCCTTGGCATGTCGAATTTATTTGAGTCATATAAGAATCTAGTAGAAGCGGTTTACATGTGTTACTGGGAATCCAGGCTCCACCGATGCTCGGTTCGTATGTACCTTTAAAAAGCATTAAATGTGCAGTAGGTAAATACTGATTTCCGTAATTTTAATCAAATTATGAAAACTTAATTTTTTTTTTTGTTTCTAGGGAGTTGAGTGAGGAGAAACAGAAAAGTTTGGACAGACGCATTAGCTATGAGAAAGCCTTGAGCATTGAGAGAGCCAACTATGAACAAGAAAAGAGCAGTTTGCTGAGAGCAGGAAGTCTGTTGGAGCCTCTGAACATTGACATAGATTGGTCTGCTACATCTGATATACAGGTAGGTGACATAAGATATACATACAGCTCTAGAGCCTATGTTGATAAGAAAGATTGGAGTTGGTGTGATGTTTCGCAGATTAAGTTCAACCAGTTTGACTGTTGTTGTCTAGTCTCTTGGATCTGTTCCTCCCTATATTATACTACAGGTCAAGCTGCTTCACATATAGTGCTAAGAATAATCATTTAATTGCAATTGTTACAATAAATTGTAATGACAAAATATTCGCTGAAGTTCCACATGCTGTTAGTCTCCATAATTTTTTATCATTATTTGTTGTGACATTTGATCTATGCAGGTGTCTGATTAATCAAAAATGTTCTGAGTTGAAATAAAGATAAATGTTTTTGGAAATTATGAAAGAAACTGGTCTCTTATCGACAGGAACTTCTTGTGTGGGTGGTCAAAAGATGGCAGCACTGGCCAGTGAGTGCTGCATTTGAGCAGTGGAAGGAGTACGTGGCTCAGCGACGTGTCACCAAGTACCTCCAGACTGAGGCCAGCGCTAGGTGTGAAAACCTCAAGCTGCACTGGGCCTTTGACCAGTGGAAACATGGGGTCATTGCCATGGCAACAGCACGGAAGTATCATGTGAGTGGCATTTCTGTGTTGTGATGTCTTCTAAGAGCACAATGAAACTTATGGTGAAATGTCATTTTGATATATCCAAATAGAATTTTTTTTTTTTTTTGAAAAGGAGGAAAAAGTTATAATATACCCGTTTTTACAATTATTTCCGAGGAGTTATACTTAAGTCAACATTGCCAAGACCTTGATATAAACAGGATTTACTATAACCTAACTGATAAATTGTGTGTTCTTTAAATAAAAAATTGCAGATGGCCGAGTGCTTTATGATGTAAAAGTCTATTAGTAAGACTGCTTTAGACAAGAAATAAATTTTGTGTCATTGGACAACCATTTTATCATTAACCAGAGACTTCTCTATCTGAGGCATAACATCTTCCTTAATCGTCTGTCTGCACAGAGACGCACCATTTTACCTCAAACAGTCAAATTCTTTGTTACTTTCACTTGGCTTCTGATTGTGTGAGTTGGACAAATTTCCAATCCTTAATGGTCCCTGTCTAAACTGTCCTTAACCTATGATATGTCCTATATTTCTCAGGAGTCCTGTCTACTGAGAAGGTGTTTTACTGCCCTGAAAGAGTACACAGTGTCCAGGAAGATGAAGCAGGAACAGAAGAGACGAGCTGATGACTTCAGGGAGGCCATGTTGCTACAGAAAGTGCTGGAAACGTGGACTCAGAAGGTAAACTATGAAAGAAGACTGTGGTTGTGAATCAAATAGTGTGCTTGTTTGCACATGCATCTAGTGTTGTGCAGTCAGTCTGCATTTGTGTTATTTAACATATAGGAATAGAAAGAGTAGTCGATTATTATGACTATTATTATTTAGATACATTATGAATAGTAAGCAAAACGAACATACAGAAATTATACAATGGGCATAAGACTGCTGTATGGGAAAAAAAATTTTCTTGAAATTTCAACAATATTTCCTTAATAACAGACATTTACCCTAGACAAAATTATTGAGAAAAATATAATCTATTTTTATTGAATCTCACTCTCAGCATCAAGACAAACAGCAGTGTGAGGTGTCTCTGACAGCAGAAAGCCCACGACTGAGTGGCCTTGGAAACTACGTGCAGCGTAAGATTCAGACAAAGAGTCTGCGTTACTGCATGCATGTGTGGGTGATGAGATACACACAGCTACAGGAAGTGAAGCGCTATCACAGCTGCTCCCTGGTAAAGAGGTAAGAGGAATGAGTAAGGACTTGTTGAATTTTCTCACTGGTGAAAAGGGAACAGAAATGAAATAGGTTTTTTTTTTTTTTTTTTTTTTTGGGGGGGGGGGGAGATATTGGCCTGGGAGGGGAAATGTTACACCTTCTGTAAGACTCCTGTGCATTAATTGAGGGAGAGAAGTTTAGAAACTTGTTGAATTTTCATAAGAAAGAATATTTCAAAATGGATAATTTCGAGGAATATGAGTAATTTTTTTTTCTTTTTTTGGTACTACCTGTTATAATGACAGTAATGATAATAACAAATAACAGAAGAAAAAGTTTAACTTAGTTACTTGGTTAATTGTATTCAGACATGGTTGATTTGTTAACCAGCTTGGGTCTAAAAAATATCACAGGATGATGGAATAAAGCTAGACATTTGAAAGGCACAGGTACATATAGTCTGTGTAGTCCTGCCTGCAACTAATATAATCCTGTTGGTTGCCTTACACTCAGGCAATTTCCAGTGTGTCTCAAACATTAAGATCATTGAATTATCTCTCCAGATGTTTCCGAGGCTGGCTCACTTGGACAAGAGAAAGATCAGACATGAGAGCCAAGAGTGAAGAGTTCTGTCAAAAGAGACTGAAGAGGGCAGCACTGAGAGGTTGGCAGAGGCGATATCGCAACACGTACCTGGCTGAGCAGAGATATGTGCTAGTGTGGAAGGAGTTCCTGGCTGACATATTGGAAAGGTGGCACTTCTGGGCAGCAGGTGAGTATTCGGCTTAAATTGTATAATATTTAGGTCCTATACAGCAATAAGTTAACTTATGTCATGTAAGAAGATGAAGTCCAAGAAGTTGCACTGTTACTCCTAAATCCATATTTATACAGATGCATGCACAGGTTAACATACGAAGAATACTTTAAGAACTTCATTCCATAGATGGTTTATGCTGAACAGCAGCCTGTCTGATTCCTCAATAACTGACTTTTCTGTTCAATTAACTGTACCATGTGCACTGGTCTATCCTTATTTTTACAGAACGTCACTTGCAGTCAGCGGTTGGTGAACAACTGGAGGCCAGACTGAGGCTGCGTGCTGTGGCAAAGACCTTCAGGACCTGGAAGGCAGAGACTCACAAGTGCCAGCAGATGCAGAAGATTTACCACGCTTCATTGCTGTCGCGTAGTTTTCATGCATGGCAGAAGCTGGCGCAGCGAAAGAAGGAGCTTGCTGAAAGGTTGTCTGACTTTGTTGTGAGGCAACAGGAAAACAAGGTAAAACTTACTAGAAATGTGAGAAAAATACAGTTTTAATTATGTTAATGTTAACTTTTTAATTGAAACAATCATATTTAATAATTGTTATGAAAAAAGCTACGTTTATTTTTATCAAAGCAGTGTTGTAAAATATAGTCATTAGAAATAGAAAATATATCAATAAAGATACTAAGTATGCTTGAAATTTGATAATTAATCATGTACTTTGACATCATGTTCCAGCTAAGACGTGTATTCCTGGCCTGGAAGTCAGACTGGCTGCGTAGTAAGGCTGAAAGTGAGTTCCAACAGCTCAGAGTTCATCACAATGTGGTCAAGATGGCCAAGAAGTGGAAGCAGAGGACACAGCAGTCTAGAGGGGAGAGACAGAGGAGAAAAGTTCTCCTGGCTATGGTACGTGGTTGAATTGATTAACTATAATGCATTGTTATTGATTCTCTAAATATAAACATACAAAAATAGATGATTATCTTTACATGCATTATTACATAGTACATGGGGTATGATAAACAACAATTTGCTTGGTTTTGAACACTACAGTTTTGGCAACACATTACAAGAAGAGCAGCTTCATAAAACTAATTTGAACTGATATCCTCGTCCACAGTTGTAAATTGAACATTGCCAAAAAAAATCATTTACAGGTTGGATCATATAATTATTGATCAGACTGTCAGAAATTATATGTTGGTCCTAAAAGAATTTGATCAGTCACTGCATCATGTCTGTAAATCATCTTTTTACAAATACACAAAGTCAAACATTTGTTTAGATTTAAATACCATATACACTGCCTTTCCATTTGATAACAATTGTAGACAACGTAGACAACAAAGATTTCTTTTATTGACATTTAATTTTGTTATATGTCCATAGATAGCACAATTTGTTACTATTTTGGCGAATTTCATGGATACTGTTGTTACTGTGACTTTCTTTGTTTCGTTCTTTGATTGTTTCATTGTCATGTGACTTGGTGCACTTACAAAAACACTTCATGTTTACATGTAAAATTCTGTTATTTTCCAGGCGTTCAAGTGTTGGAGGGGCCAGCTCCAGAACAAGCTGTCTCTGAAGGGCAAGGTGTACATCCTGGGCCGTCTTTGGCGCTGGAAAGCACAAAGGAACCTGACACAGGAAAATATGGCGCTGCAGCTGCAGGACAAGTTCCGTAGACGTCAGTTGAGCCGAGTGTTTACTCACTGGAAGGAGACATATTGGAAGCTGCACTGTGCTGAACAACACCATATAGACAGCTTGGTAGCAAGGTACTGGAATTATAAAGTTTATACTATTATTATTATATCACTGTAGTACTAATTTCTGTGGAATCTTCATTCTAAATTGCATACTATTGATGTCAAGTTGTTGAAAAATTTGTGCAGTTTAAAAAATGTTAATTGACCATGTTTGTGTCACTATGTTTTACCTTAATTATAAAGTTATTATTATTATTATTTTAATGTTATTATTTATTGTTATTGCAGTGCTTTCCAAGGCTGGTTGGAGTTCACAGAAAAGAAGAAAGATCTTGCTTACAAACTTCAGCTGTACTTGGACAAGAGACACACAGACCAGGTGAGAAACTCTGCCCCCACCCCACCCCCCANATGACGGTAGAATTTAGAGGTGTAATCGCTGTCGAAATTCGGCATGTGTTACATTTTAAAGGGTGATTCTTGAATGGGCAAGTGCTTTAAAATAAGTGTCGGCAGTTTTTATGGCTACCAAATTTCTGAACAGAAAAAAAAAGAAAATAAACTTCCTATCTAAAGACGCATATTGTTGGTATGTAGGGCCTTGATTAGTGGTTCGTCAAAAACTTTAGATTTCAGTTGTTGCGGTCTGAAAAAAAAATGCATTGTACTATTAGCAGTGTGCATAACTTGGATTTGCTATCATTTTAGGTGCAAATATGGGAAAATTTATGAAATCTGGGAAAGTTGTCCTAGTGTTAGCAGGACGCTATGCAGGCAGAAAAGCTGTCATTGTTAAGGTGAGCAGCTGACACGGTTTAAGCATGTGTGCATGTGGTATTGCTCCTCCTCCTCCTCTCTCTCTCTCTCTCTCTCTCTCTCTCTCTCTCTCTCTCCAGATGAACAATTAAAATAACTGCTGTTGATATAAGGTTAACAATTACCAAAATATATCTAAAAAAATGAAACAAAAAATTTGTCCATTTTGGAGTGAGTTTTGCCAAATTCAGAGAATTATTATTTGTGCACACTAAAACTTCAATAGAAAAAGAGAATTGATGGCATATATGTTAGGGTATCATCTTCTCCAGTATGTTATTTATTGAAAGTTGTTTTCCCTTCAGCTCATTGTTGCGATGAAGATCTGGAAGAAAGAATTCAAGGGCAGCGCCAGGCGTAAGAAACTACTGCAGCACCACCTGGAGGAGAGAAACCACAAACTTGTAAACAGGATGTTTGTCAAGTGGCATGACGAGACATTAAGACAAAGAGCTGAGAAACGTTACGAAGGTTCCATTCTGCTGAGGATAGTAGTGTCGTGGCATAAGTGGGCACATGGTATGCAGGCTTAAATAATGATTGCAATGCAATTAATATCAATTAAGTCCTCTAACAGTTAAATTCTGTCTATGAGAAATGTAGTGATAAAATTTGACTTATTTGTGCAAAGATCTTAATTGGCCCTATAAAACGTTCTTTTATTGATGATAAATTTTGTTATTTATCAGAATGTACTTGATAATAGTCACTTCATCTCATTAACGTTAAATTATTGTTCCTTTAATGTCAAAAATGTATTTAAGTGAGTTTTTGAATAAAATGAATCACTGTTATACATTATGATATAATGATATATTTACCATTCATGTACAGACAAGAGAGCCAGAATGGCCAGATGTCAAGAGCTGCAGACAAGTTTTGCACGTAATAACCTCAGGTCAGCATTCCTTACTTGGCATCAGAACACCAGGGTGCAGCACCGTGCGGCGGCACACTACCAGCAGACACTCACAGTCAGGTATGTGTTTAACTCTCAATACTAGTNTCCACAAACCTGCCAAATTTTATGCTTGTAGTTTTAAGTGCTTGATGAATTCCCCATTCAAATGGATAACTTGAATAAATGGTCTGCTTTTTTTTACTTTTGGCGGCCATTTTGGATTTAACACACCTGAAGGATTCCTACCATGGTGTTTTCTAACCTTTATATGATATTTTAAGTCATTAGAAGACTATGTACTTGAAGTTTTAATTTGAAAAGGTATTTTGGTGGCCATATTGGATTTGACGGCCATTTTGGAATTTTCAGACATGCCCATATATCCAAATTTGCTTAGAATTTTATTGTCCATAAGTGTGCCAAATTTCATGCTTGTAGGTAAAAAATGCACAATTTTTCACCAATTTCCTGGACTATACTGGGCAACAGCATGGAAATTCTCAGGATGAAAACAGACATGGTTTATTTCTTTAAAAGAGTAGATCAACACCTGTTAAGAACAATACTACAGTTAGTAATAAAGGTATCTCTATCTTGGAAGTAATTACTAGACAATATTTGTATCAAGTTTTTTATTCCATGTAGTCCTTTGGTAATACACTTTGTTATAAACTTTGTATATATATTTGGTTTATCAGTGTTTATAGAATTTCAGGATGAATGAAGACAGCAGGATGGTAGTGTTGCTTGTAAAATTAATTGGATTTTATTTCCTTCTTCAGAATGTTTTTCTCCTGGCTTCACCATGTTCGACATCAAAAACAACTTAAACAACTCAGCACACAGTTCCAGCAGCGTAAAACCGCCATCATTTCCCAGCATGCATTTCTCAAGTGGAAGCTACGCTATCAAGTCAACATGCAGCTGAATGTTCTGGTGAAGCAGAAGCAAGCCATGCATGAAAGAAAGCTTCTCCAGGATTGCTTTGCATTGTGGATTGAGAAAGTTTGCGAACGTCAGGCACACGAGCACTACGAGAGAGTGTTGATGAGACGGGCAATGGCGCAGTGGAAGAGGTTTGTCCATAAGAAGAGGATGGAGAAACAGATGGAGGGAGACTTAATGGACTTGGCACAGCAGCACTATGAGGCTAGTCTAAGGTAGGATGAACAATAACAATAACAAGAACAAGAACAAGAACAATAACCACTGATCTCCTTATCAAAGTTGTTGCCTTCAATATTGGAAAATCCATAATCATGCTGTGAAAAAGTCAGAATTTCAGAAGTTGCCTCAACCTAATTGTAGTTACTGCATTTCTCTGGGCTAAAGATATCAATTTCTGTGAGATGAGAAATGTTTCTGTGTTCCATTTCAGTGATAATATTATAATATTATAACTGTTACATTATAACATTACAAATTAGTTTCATGCATCTGTCTGTAATACACTGGATTTTTATCATAACATAAAAGGATCAGCTACTGAATTTTAAAGAAATTTGCCACCATCTAACTCTCAGTTCTCTTCACCTTTTCAGGAAACTTGTACTGCATGCATGGTGCAGTGAGGTGCTAGTTGCTAGGCAACTAAAGAAGAGACAGCTCCATCTGGTGGCAAGATATGCTAAGATCTGGAAGCAAAGGGTTGCCATGGTGAAGGCTGCAAAGCAGATGGTATGCATAAACAGTGATCAGAATAAAATAATGAAAAATATTTTGTATAGAAATAAACAGTGTTTTGTGATTTAGCAACATGTCTTTATATGCAATTTTTTTAAATATCCTCACTTCATTTATCACAGTTTGGGGTAATGTAACAAATGTCACTGAGTTATTGCTGAGACAACAGAAAGTATAAAAGTTATATGTATCTTCAGGCCCAGAAGCACAAAGTTGATCATTGCTGGCGGAAGTGGAGAAAAGCTCTGATCCAGTCCCAGGTGTCCAAGAATATGCTGATACAAGACAACAAGCAGGTGCTCACACAGGTAAGGCTGGCCAAGATGCAGCTTGATTGATTGATTTTTCTTGTGCAGCATTCCAGTCTTTCATACTGTACATACTTTAAATAAAGACATTATGCAAATTGTAGTTGGAAGTTGAGTGTGAACTTAATTTAAATGTTCACATTTATGTAGAAATTAACTCTAAAATTTGCAACACATTAATAAGATAACAAATTGAGAGGAACATGAAGATGAAGTATTTGTCAATGAATAAATTAACAAATTGAGAGGAACATGAAGATGAAGTATTTGTCTAGAATAAATTCAGTTATCAGTTTCAATTAATTCAGTTTTATACACCTCATTTATTTATATTTTCAAGATTCAGTATTTGAGCCACACAGAACATTCTTTTGACAGCAATGCTATTCATTTTTGAAAGTTAACTATAAAATCAGAAAGCATTATTTTTAATTTGTGCTTCATGCAGCAAAAGGAGACTACCTAAAATGTCATATACTAAGATGTGTATAATTTGCCCTACAGGTGTTTGTGACCTGGAGACAGATGGCGCTGCTGAGGTCTTTGGCCAAGAAGTGCAGCCAGCAGCAGCAGAGCCACCAGCTGCGTCTCACCTTCCAGCAGTGGCGACAAAAGTACAACAGTAGCAGCTCAGGGGGAAGTTGTCGCAGCTCCAACGCCAGTCTCTGTACCACAGATCGTAGCTATATATCAGGAAGGAGCTCCGTGGACACACCTCTGCCAATGGTGATGCCTTTCAGTGAACAGTTCTGATTTAGCAAAAATATCTCCGTATACTAAGATGATACTGGACTGAACTCAATGAGAAGTTTGTGGGCCACAGACTGCAACATAGGATAAAGTCCCAAGAAACTGGGGTGGGGGGGGATACAAACTAATGTGTCTTTCACAAATTATTTTAAGGTGACATATATCACACTGTTACATAAATGTTGATATTTTTTTTCAAACTTGAAGGTCTTTCAGTTGGTGTCAGTTGACCAAGGCCCTGTTCCAAGTCTTTCTTGTTCTGTTGATATCACAAACAAGTACAAAACAAACAAATATTTGATGAATTCAAGGCAAGACCTTGAATATAAGTATTACTCACTGGTGGTTTAGATAATAAATGAAACTTGCATTTTAAAAATATCAAAAAAAGGTTGTTTACGAGAAAGAACTTTTTAAGTAGTTTATACACATCCAAGAAGAAACTGATTATGGATATTTATATAAACAAATGATACTGTATTATATTTCAAGGGCAGCAAGCTGTAACTTAATATTTATTGCCTTTTATTCACGTTTCCATCCACTGGTCTCATTTTAAGTGACTTGTTCAAATGTTAATTTCCAAGTTTTTGTATATTTTTTCGTATTTAAGATAAACAGGCATTGAATTTATGCAGTGCCTACCGTCCATTTTTGTTTTGAATACAATTTGTATATAATGTTAGTTGTAAAAAGAAATGTATCATATTATAAACCATACCATGTCATATTATGTTGTACATTACATTTTGGTGCCAGCAAATTATCCTAGGGGATTTTCCTTTTTAGTGCTAAAATTAGCACATTGCTCAGAAAAGCTTATGAATCTGAATTATGGCCAAAACAGGAAACTTTTAATGTAGATGATTTAGTCATTAAGGTAGATAATGTTAGATGGAAACTTGTAATAACTTTTTGTTTTCTACTCATTGTTGAATTGGGAAAATCATGACAAAGTTGAACTTTGTCATAGTTAATTTCAAATTCAGTGCAAGAGGTTTCACCTTTAAATTTTAAAGCTTAAACTCTAAACTAAGATGTTAAGTTATTACAGTCTGATATAGTGGATGGTATTTATTATGGATTCTGACATTTGCATTGATATTCTTCGCATGTTATGCATGCCCTAACAGTGGTAGTCATTCAGTTACTCAAAGGTAATACTCACACATGGGTCTTTGCTCAAATACTGTAGAATTCACTTTGACAATGTGCCATAAACAGCAAGACTTTGACATAATCAAGGAATTTACATATGAACTGGAAAACACTGCCTCTCTCATAACTATTGTATTTTCCGTATTTCTTAATTACAAAAAGTTTGGGGATTTTTTATGTTCTTTCTTCACCCTCACATTATTGCGAAGGTGAAATATTAGTTTTCAGTTGGATTTTTATTATTATTTTCAACAAAAAATTGTTTTATTGAATTTTTAAAAATGACTGATTCATTCAGAAATGCTATATTTTTTGTATTGTATTTAGAAAGATGGCAAAAATCCCACATTTTAGTGATCCAGAACATTTTAGTCAATATGTTAGTGATGAAATCTGGTTGTTGGTATTTTGTAACTACGTATCACAGTAGAAAACTGTGATGTATTAAATGTGCCTTTGTATAATTTTCTACTTAACAACTGAGAAATGTATGTACTATTTTCTATCACTTTATAAGATTTTTTACATCTTGTTTAATGATAGAGAAATGTTGCTTAGATCCCAGATTTTTTCAAAAATCATTAAATGTAAAATTTAGCCCAAATGCTTTACCTCATCCTTAATTTTACTGAAAAAGAGAAATTATTACATTGTGTATCATGTTTGATTCATACAGTAGCATACTGCCAGAATTGTCATCAGTATAGATGAATTCATTTTATCACTGAAACAGTTATTAAATGCCTTAGAAAGTATCATGTATAGATGCTATTAACTTATTAACAGTAAGACTCTAGTCAAATTATTGTGTACAAAGAAAACTTATATTTGTATTTTGTAATAATTAACAAAGAGTGTGATTGAACCTTTTCACAATTTAAAATAATATTTAATGTATAAATATAGAACTGGTCACATTGATGGGCGTGATTCATTGTAAAAATAAATTTTATGAATTATATATTATTAACATCTTGGTCTTTTGATCTATAGCTATTCAAAACAAAAATAATATGCATCATTTTTAAACAAGTAATATTTAACAAAAATAGTAATATACAAACTTAAGTATTAAAAATATGAAAAAAAATTATCTCAATGCAACCTGCAAAACATCACATGGAAGAATTCCAATAAAACTATTACACTTTTTACATGCCATGAACAAGTTCACAATGGTTGCGATGCACTATTTATCACAATTTGCACAGATAAAAGAATTTGAATCTACATTCCCCTGGCTAGCGAAAGTCGATGCATCTGAGGCAGAACTAGAACAGGCAAGAGCTGTTGGCCATTACTGCCCTCTCATAGACCATGAATAAAATTTAGTTTCACAAAATACATGTTTGTATTCAACATACAATACAACTGCATTCAAGAAAAACAAAACCTGGTTCAGGGAACTCTGGTAAAGATTATGACAAGTATAAATGACCCCAAACAACAATAAATTGTTTAGTTTCACAAAATACATGTACAGTATGTGCAATCATAACTGCATTCAGTGCAAAACAAAACCTGGTTCAGGGAAATCTGGTCAAGATGACGGCTAGTATAAATGACCCCAAACAACATCCCCGCATCTATATAATCCATTCAACTTCACAACTGCATCAGTATTTTAGCAGAGCTGTCCTCTGAGAGAGAGTCTTCCTGACAGCTGTCCTGAGGTACTGCAGAGACATTAGTGTATACAACATATTCCACATCCTTGAATGATGCCCCTGACGTCTCCTTGCAGCCACTGCTTCCCTCACAGGGGTTAAAAGAGGTTAAATTATTTCCATTGTCATAGCATGCAGGCGAGACAGAAGACAAAGGGTTTCCATCCAATATTGAGTCCTGTGAATTTGTGTCTCCAATAGACTGGCTATCAAAATGAGCATTTTCAATATCCAGATAAGATCTGACTGGCTGACAGGGGCTGGGAGAGAACAGCTCTTTCTGGAGTGCAGACATGCTCTTCACAGGAGTGGACACTTCATAGCTGGACATGTCCTCACTCAGGACCCCCGGCCCTATAGATGGGGTCAGTTCATGGGCCTCCAGCCACTGACCATTGCTGTTACTGTTATTATTGTTGTTGTCATTGCCAGTGAGGATCTGGTTGTAGACTCCATTCCCTAACCCAGATCCTTCCTCTTGTGAGGAGTTGTGCACCTGCAGAGCAGGATGGTAGAGCTGAAGCCACTGTTTGAAAAGTGGGGACGGGAACGTAGCATTACTCATCTGCACCTGGAGGTAGTACTCCTCCGCCTCAAAGTTCAGGTCTGTGGGCGGCGTGTACACCTGCGAAATGTTGGTCACGCGCTCATTCTCCATGGCAAGGAAGTCGATGTAGTCAGAAACCAACTTCCCTATGGGCTGTGGAGGCTTGAACACTGACTGCTTGCTACGTGGGTAGACCACTCGCCGAGTGACCAAGGAGTTGTGGTCTACAGCAGCACCATCTAGTGAGGAAAAAAAGTAGTCACAGAACAAACAGCAAAGAACATATAAGCAGCAATTAAATCTGCAGTTGTAAATGGTGCATAGTTCAAAATAAATTAGATACAAATTAATGCAAATTGTAAAAATAGTCAAGCATTAATAAACCATGCAGTATTTCTCTTTCAACTTTTTTATTAATCTCTTTTTACTTATAATAAAAAGTCAGCAATTAAAATGACAACTATATACTCAAAGTTTGAATTTTTTACAATAAATATATGATTTTCAAGGTGCATAAGAGCAAAAGAAAAATAAGTGTCCAAAGGAGTAGCATTTGCACTACTGAAAACCCTTAAGCATCATAATCAAATAAGATTAAATTAACTCAAACATGAAAAGAAAAAAAAAATACCTGTACAATTGAGAGCTTCTTGGTTCTGGTTCCCATGCTCTGAATTCAGTATCCCACATTGAGTTATCGCATGGTCTCTCTGTTGAGGCCCACTGACCTCTGCTTGCAACATTGCCTCACTAGAGGGCGTTGTCTTGGGTTGGAGTGACTCTTCTTCGTTGAAATGAAATGAAAATTCTGCAGGGAGAGATTGTTCTTTACCACTGCCACCATCATCTTTTGCAGTGATGTATTCTTCTGATGGATTCTCTTGTGCTTCATTTCTTTTTGATACAATCCCACTGGGTTGGTTGCTATTGCTTTGCTCCTTATTTTCCCCCACAATATTTTGGTTCAGCTGAGCATAATGTTGTTCAGGCTGTTGTAATGTTCTAGGGTTCTGCTCGAGTTGTTGCTGCTGTTGTTGTTGTTGTTGTTGTTGTTCTTGCAGCGGTTGTTGATTAAAGAAATGTTGATGTTGTAGGTTCAGCTGTTGTTGCTGCCACTGCTGCTGCTGTTGAAGAAAAAGGTTGATGTTTCCTGGGTTTATGCCAACACTGTCATCTTGACATGGTGGATACTGATAAGCTTGCTTCTTCATGTATCTGTGAAACTCTGAAATGATAAAAAAAAAGTTAGATTCTAATTATACTGCATGACAGAAATTTGGTGTGAGTTATACCTGATTATAAAACTTTTATAGGAATTTTCTAGTTATTAAAGGGAGAACAACTGTTCATTTGGGCCTAAAAATAGATTTTCCTTGGGTTGATGATGATTTTCCAATACTTACCAATGGTGAATTGGAATAAAATAAAAAAAATAAAGCCATTCTGACATTGGTCCTGTTTCTTTTTTCTTTTTTTTTTTTTTTTTTTTAACAAGTTTTTTTTTTTTTTTTGTAATAATCTGTTACAAGATTATTACAGATGATAACCATCAACTATGGTTAAGTGGTCCAATGGCAAGCACAGATTCCAAAATAATTGCACTTATCACTATTTCTATGGTGAAAAAGAATATCTTATAATTCTATGAGTTGTTTACAATACATTCATTGTGAAATATGGATCTCATATGACGAGTTTTTATCCCTTTAATATTTATCATATTTTATTCAGAGCTTTACTATTAATTTAATTACTTTGAATTTTGAACTAACAATTAATCTTTAAAGCAAAAAATACATTGGGATTGCTGGCTTATGGTCTTATCAATAAACAATTTCTTTATTTTAGCAGAGATGAAAGTTAAATTTTTACACCAACACTACAAATTAAAATCAGGTCAACATTTGTGGCACAATACATCAAAACACCCTTATCGTACCTTCCCTAAATTTGGCCTGGCTCCATGGAATGTTGCGTTCTACGCTAGAGGCAGGCATTTTGTACCTGATATGGTCTCTGGAGCTGCTGCCAGGCCGTCTGTATTTCCTTCTGCCGGGGTTTCTACGTGGTGGTGTGCTCTCATTTCCTGGCATGGGACAGCTGGCATAATGTGGCATCCTGGCTGGCATATAGCAGTTTGGGTTCCCTGCAGGAGGTATACCAACTGGTGGCCTGAGAGGGATTAATTCACAATCAAAATAAATTCTTTATAAAAATTTATTCCAAGTAAAACAGGTAACTGATCAATAAAATTATAAGATAATGATGTATTATTAATCATTAATCAATTTATTAATCATAAAACTACCAGAGCATGATCGGTATATGATCAGAACTTGATACTGAAGCAATAATTTTCCTTTAAATACTTCTTTGGTTATACTTTACTTCACCACAGACTTCTTTGCTTCGTTCAGAAACTGTTGTTTGTGTACATGTTAAATCATTATAAATCCATCATTAATCTATCTATAAAAATGTTTGTACAACATACCAGGGTGAGTAAAACCCTGGATATCTGAGACCTGATGGGCCAGCCATACAGTTGTAAGGTCCAGAAAACCCTGGATATCCCGGAGACACATTTGGTCCATATCCATGATGACCCATAGGGAAGTTGCCTGGAGATTGCCAAGCTGATGGAGAGAGTCCATTACTTGCCTCGTGAGTTTCTCTGCCTACATGCAGTCAGGGGGAAAATCAAAGTTATTAAATAATAATATGTTCATTTTTCATTAAGCAAAAGAAAAAAAATCAATGGAAAAATGTTGAGAATTTCGACTTACCCTTCATCCCTTCACTGAATTCTATGTTGTAAGTTTTTGAAATACATTCTTTCTTTTAACATAATAACTACTGGGTGACTACTAGTACTCGTACCTGAGGCTGAGGTAAAAGTTCAAGTAGTTACAATAAATATCTCAGCCAGCCCTTGAGAGACAATATCATTGTAATTCAAACCAGTATTTGCATTACCTGCTCTTTGATTAGGATTACTATTATTTACAGATTCGGCAGACTCGGATCCATTTGCTTCTCTCCATTGATTCCACTGGCTGTGGTCAGTTTGAGAGTTTGGGTTTTGCTGTGTGGTCGTCTCACAGGTTTTCTTACTATTGTCCTCAAGTCTCTGTCGTTTTGCGTCCATTTCGGCTTCTTCTTCTTGGCCACATTTAGAGTCTTTTGCAGAAGAATCCATTGCTCAGTTTCTGCATAGGATACAAATAAAATATTCAATACTCTACTACATTCCGTTAAATTATGAGAGACCACACGAGAATCAAAGAGCGTCTGCTTTTCCTGCCAATTGAATTGTGGGAAGACAAGTTGACCCAAAAATCAAAACCTATTCTTTCCTTTGAATTAGTGTATCCTTTTAAAACACAGCACTGTGACTTACACCATTTTTCATTATACTGAACTGCATCACATATATGTTATTTCTTTTGTTCTGATCGTAAAAAATTGGTGAAGACATCCATATCCAATTAACTGATTAGTCAACTTAGACCTGCAAGCGCAATTTTTCCAATCCTCCACATTCAGAAGAGTGGCTTATAATCTTGTACATTTCAACGTGGTAGCGGTATGAAAAATGTAATTTTTTGTCCAAGTTACGCGTAGGCAAGCTGTGCAATAGTCAACAAACATACCGAAGAAGCTATTCTCTTTTAAGACTGAGTGCAATTTTAAAGATCCGACGCATGAGAAAGAGATAATTTGACTGGTTTACCTGCGTGATGGGTCGTTCTTCGAAAGACAAGAGAGATGTGTATTACAGACTGGCCAAGGAAGAAGGATGGCGAGCAAGAAGTGCTTTTAAATTGCTGCAGATTAATGATGAATTTCACCTCTTTGAGGGCGTCAAGAAAGTTGTGGATCTGTGTGCTGCTCCTGGAAGCTGGAGTCAAGTTCTATCGAAGAAATTAAGGTAATAAAACCCCGGACATAGATGTCGAGCTCAGTCATGGTGGATTGAGGGGCTCAAGAAGGGGGTGGGACCCCACTTACTTATTTTCTGGTTACAACAGTGCTTCATTTTTATGATTCTTATTGCTGAGCACCCAAGTTAAAAATGATTGTTGAAAGTTACGTTGAAATAATCAGTTTTACTCAATGTCAAACTTCATTCTTTTCAATTTATTTTAATCATTATATTTTTTGCATTCCTTTATTATCAATATATTGGTATTCAGTGTTGATAGAGTATCTAATATATCAATAATTATGATAACTATGTCTACCTCCCCAAACACATGCACACACTCACACACTATTCAAACTATTAAGAAAATAAAGAAAGAAATTATTTACTACTACTCAATTTTTTCTTTGGGAAAAGGTTTTTTTATAATCTCAAGAAAATAAAGTGCCATCACTGTCAAACAACTATAGAAAGATATTATGTACTGATCTATTACAGAGGAGATAAGGGAGATGTATCAGATGCTAAGATCATTGCTGTCGACCTCCAAGCCATGGCCCCTATTCCTGGTGTTGTACAACTACAAGGAGATATTACAAAGGTGAACTACAGTCTGAAATTCACCTATCAAGGGGTTTCCCAGAAAACCATCCAGTTGTCATTTGCCAGCATCACTGGAAGGCCTAGATTTTTTAAGACGGCTGGATGGTTTATGGATTTGTTGGAAATATGATGGCTTTAGGCATACTTGGACACCTTGAAATTTTGTAGGAAATCACACGTGGTAATTTTGGACGGCCTGTATCGGTGGGTTCTGGGAAAAGCCCTGTCTTCAATCTTAGCACCAGTAGCTCACCACACTGATTACTCCTGGTGTTGATACAGTCCTTCTCCATCCAGAATACGAATGATGCTCAGTTTTTAGTTCAGGATATAAATGCTGTAAATATTTTAACTAGTGTGACTTCTCAAATGTGACTTTTATTTAAATCAGTGGGTGCGGGTCTCTGGTCCAGTTTTATCTGTGGTGAAAAGAGCAGGGATCTTTTGATGTGAGGATCTGTTGTAACAGGATCTAGTTTCAAGTGAATAATGATGAATTGATTATAAAGTGTGTATAATAAGGTATTTTAAATCCTTTTAAAACTTCAAAAAGAGAATATATAATGCATTGTCAAGTATTTGACATGTGCACTTATAAAATCTTACTTATGGGCTATGTTTTTCCCCACTCCAAAGAATATCTGTGACTAAGATTTGAAAAATAATATTATTTTTTAGGTGTCAACTGCACAAGAAATCATCAGCCATTTTTCTGGCGATCAGGCAGACCTGGTCGTGTGTGATGGTGCTCCTGATGGTACGTCCTTAGTCCTGGTAATGACCTAGATACAGAGGTCGTTGACATTAGCTCTGTTATAACTAAAATTATTAACTTAAAGACAGTCAGTGAAGATTTTTTTGATACATTTGCATGTTAATTTAAAGTAACTGAAAAAATTATCCATAAATCGCTAATAATGTTTTAGATTAATTTTTTATAAAACATAACAGGTTTCTGAGGCTGGTAATGATTTAACATACTTCTAGCATTATTTTAGTACAACTGCTACATTTTATTCTTTTGGTGTGAAGTAGCAAATATTTTGATAGAAAAATGCGTCAACTTTGTTTTTATTTTAGTGACAGGCCTCCATGATATAGATGAATATATTCAGGCTCAGCTGCTGTTGGCTGTAAGGACATTTTTCTAGTCTTAGCTAAAAAACCTTTTACCCCAGTGGCCCTTTTGGTCAAAGGGGTCTAAGAATCTTTTGGCCTGATGTTGAAACAGTGACCAGTAACTGAAGAATTTACACAGTTCTACTGGCCAGGCTTCTGACACGTGGTGTTGGTCAAGTGCCAGTGTTGTGGATTCTTCACCAGTAAAATTAACCTGTTTGTTTTGTGTTTCTCCTTTTTTGTGACAAACTAATGCCGTTGGTTTAATGCAAACACATAGAAATGTAAATCTTGTACATTTGTATTTAAAACATTTAAAAAGTAGCTTCTATTCTTTATATTGAAAATTTTGTCACTTTTTCATTTTGAAATATTTAGTGGTGTCACCTCAAATCTAATAAGAACTGGATTTTTGAAATTTTTTGCAGGCTTTGAACATAACAACTCACGTATTGAAGAAAGGAGGGACTTTTGTGGCAAAGGTAATGACATAATAAGGCATTTGTCAGAAACTGCACTGATTGATACTGTAGTATCAGTTCTGAAAGCCTCTGTGTGCTGAGAATATCATTCAGAACGGTGGACTAACAGATCCACAAATCAAATATGGGAACCGACTTAAAAGCTTGATGCTTCACATCTGTGCTCCCAGAAAACAATACAGAAGTAGCATGCAGAACATGGTGAATTCCCACTTTTTGTGCAATAGACTGTTTCGAAAAAAAATTGAAAGAAAAACTACCAGAAAAATTTTCCTGGACAATTTCTGTCACCTGACTTCTCCTCCAAATGTGTAAACTCTGGCTTGATGTTCAGGGGCGTAGCCTGAGCAAAATGCCTGGGGGGGCAGTAAGCGGACACGAGGGGGTGGAAAATTTTTAAAATCTGTATGTATAATACTGCATTCTGGTGCATTTTAACTGTTATTTATTGCTCAATCAGAAGTCAGAAATTGTGGGTTCATTTTGCCATAAGTACAGTCATTTTTTCAACACAACAAGCCAATTGGACTTCATTTCAAACAGTCAGGGTAAACAATAACCTGATAACAGCCTGGGGGATAGCTCCCTAAGGGAGGGTGAGCTTTTTGGCATGAACTGAGTTGGCTAAAAACAGTACACCTTTGTAAACAGATTGTTGAATGATTGTCTAGTGGCCATTAGTGCATTTTCTCACAGAATTGATANCCCCCCCCCAGAGGCTACGGTCCTGATGTTACACAGTCCCCAGACTTTTTACTATTTTTGATAATTCCCATAGAAATTTGGCTGTCAGCAGAGATGTGACATACATGTATGTAGAATTGATCCCCACAAAAAACACATCTAAGATAATAAGAAAGAGATTGACGTTAAACTAAATAGTTTAAAATGCAAGCAAAAATAATGAAAACTAATAACTTTTATTGAAAAGTCAGTATTACATTGGAACTTGGATGCTAAGCAGAGGACACTTGACTTTATGTATTTCAATGGCTTCCCAATAGAGAAAGTAGAAGTGACTTAAAATTTTGAGATTTTTATTTCATTGAAATTGAAATATACCCTGCTGCCATTTTTTTCAGATTTTCCGAGGCAAAGATGTCACCCTCTTATATTCCCAGCTCAAAATTTTCTTTCCTATGGTGACAGTTTCAAAACCAAGGAGCAGCAGAGATTCAAGCATTGGTAAGAAGACGCTTTGTTGTAAAATCAATTGTATAAAGTATCTGCCTGTAAAATCTGTTGTATAACAAAGTTTCAGTTTATACTTTAATATTAAGATCTAACAAGGGAAATATGAAACATACTTGATTATTTCTGTATATAAGTGATTTGGATATAATAGGCATAATTCAATGCATTACCCAATTACAAATATTTTTTTATTTTTATTTACAGAGGCATTTGTTGTGTGCCAGAATTATTGTCCACCAGAGGGCTACGTACCTAATATGTCCAATCCTCTTCTTGACAACCACTATGGTAAGAATTCATTTCCAGAAACTATGAAAGTTGATAATTTTACAAAAGATGAATTATTGAGAATTAAATTTTATTTTTGTCAAATCACTTTATCAATAAGATGATTATCTCAAAATCACTGAGGCACTTACAAAAAAACATATATGAACATATGACAACCAAAATGCTTACCCGTATCATCTTTACGACTTAGGCTAGGATTATTGGAAAAACAGCAGCTCTTTTTATTTATTTTATTTTATTTTTTCAGATGTTGATTTCAACAGTCTAGAAGGAGTAAACCGTGTTATCGTACCTTTCCTGGCCTGTGGAGACCTCAGTGCATACGATTCAGACAAAACCTATCCACTTGAGGTATGGTTATATTTAAACAAAATAAACTGCTTTCAATAAAAGTTTTAAGTTGGACTTGGCCTCAGCTAAAAGAGAAAAGAATATCACCATTCAGTGTTATGAATTTAGCAGGGATTGCTTTGTCTGAGGCAGAGTGGAGTCTCTCTGCAGAGGATAGGTTAAACAAAGAGACCCTGCTGGATCTCAGATACTGAAATTTCTGATTTGTCAATTTTGTCACATGATGACACTTATATGGCTCATCCATATTTAAAGTTAGTTATTGTAGCAGGTAAAGTTATCATACATAATAACATCACTGATGTTTTCTTCTGTATAACATAGTAATACTATTTCTCACAGTCCAACCTTCGGCAGTTGTTTTGTAATGTTTTGAAATATTTTAGAATAATATTTAAGTTTAAGGTTCATACACATAACTTCTTGTGCATATATCAAAAATTATATTAGCATAATTCTGCAGTTGATATAAGATTTTAATGAGATTGAACAAGGTGCATTGAATTTATATCAAGCAAAATACATCAGAATAACCTGTTAATCTTGGTTATGATATTTTGACATCTAGTTGACCCCAGGGAAGGAGTACCAGTACCACCCTCCCACCCAGTCACCCATCCACCCCCCATACCAGACTGCCTGTGAGCTGAAGAAGAAGGACATGCTGTCGAAACCCTCCTCTGCTGCCACTCCCACAGGGAAAGAGTCTGCAGCTTCTGCTGGAGGAAGTACAGAAACAGCTGACACAGGGAACGAGTCTTCAACCCATTCTGGAGGTGGCACAGAAACAGCTGATATTTGTGAGAACCCATTAGTCACAGGGAACAAGGCTGAAATGGTTCCTGAACCCACAGGGACTGATACTGTCTTGGAAACCACAGGGAGAAGTGCCTCTGAATCCACAGGGACCAGGACCAAACTCACAGAAACAAATTCAGTGTTATCAAAGGGGAGTGATAGTGCATCAACAATGGAGAAAGACTTCAATTTTCCTCCAAAAACTAAACCTGACAGATCAGAACTGACTAATACAAATGTTAATACTGCCACAGGTTCTGATACTGAATTTTATTTACCTGGTTTCAAAAAGGACAGTTTTTATGTAGAAAGGGGTAATAATTCACATTTAGAAGAAATCAGTGGTTCTATAGGAGAGCCTGATATAGATACTGAATGCAGTGGGGATGCTATGAATGAACAGTTGAAAGATTTGAAGTTAGAATGAATTATTTATATTTTTATAGTGTTATATTTACATTTCAATTTTAAAAACACGAATTAAAGTTTCTGAGATTGTATCCTGCTATCTGCCCATTAGGAATGAAATTTTTAGACTTTTGTTTTTCGATCTAAGAAACGATGCAGGTTAATAGTATGTCATCATATGAATTTGAAGGAAACAGTTAATTGTTACATCGGTACAAGAACATGTTTTAATTTGTTATAACAATATGTTCTCTGTATCTACTGTACTTAAATCACAATCACAGTTTGAAAATAGTTTTACACAAAAATTTGTAGTCAAATAATATTATAATCAAAGTATTAAATCAATTACTTTGTGGGACTTTATGGTGATTGGGTTAGAATATTCTCTTTCAGTGCTGCATATTGTAACAAAATGAGCTACAGATCTATCAATGTTTGTAAAATATATTTGATTATTCAATTCGAGTTTTTTGTTTGGCCCATTTCCAGAAGTGCACTGTGTATCAGGTATTTTAAATAGGATTGCATTTAAGTTTCATGCAATCTGATTCTTCACGCCTAAGCTGTGTTTACCCTCATCTGCATGGCATATAATTTTTGTCTTCATTTCATGCTCCTTTATTGACACAAAGTTCTTTGACTTAAACATATTCCACTCACATCCCTAAATCGTATTAAGAAACTTTAGCTGGCAGACCTCCTAGCCTTTTTTATCGCAAAATAAAACGTGTCAGATTTTTACTCACAGTTTTAAATAAGGGCAAGTAGAAGTATTTCTTCATAAAAAGTGGAAAATGTGATAAGATGCAAAAATGCAAAATTTACTTAGGAATCCCACCACCATGTACAGTATTCAGTGCATCTACCTGTGTCAGAATTAGTACTTATGAACACATGCAAACTCTTGTTTGTATTTCCTCCATCAACAAGAAGATGCCAAATATGAAAAATCAGTAATATCTGTGCTGATTTATACAAGACCTTAATTAACAAAGTATGCATTTATTTCCCATTCATGATGAAGTCAGCAAAACAGGTGTGAAAGTTAAAATGCTTTCTAATGAAAGTGATAAGAGGACCACCATCTTTGTGACTCTGGGGTCAATCAGTGCATTTTTATTGGAGAAGCACCCATGAAACTGAAAACTCCCTTTAACTCTGGAACTGTAAAGGCTAGAAACTTTTTGTTTGGTGTGTTTTGTAGAGCATGTCAAGCACAATACTGTGGGTGGTGTTCAGTTTTTTGTTTTCCATATGGTTTAGGAGTTGCGCTACGGTATGTTAAAAAGTACAACTTTAAAATGTTCAGTGGTGAAGATAAAATATGATATACCTATTCCTAAACTAGCAGAGATAAGTCAATTGTTTCTTTTGAACTTGAATAGGAAGATATATATTGTCAATCTTAGTATGACCTTGAATTTGAACTTTTGAGTACTTTTCACCATGCGCAACACTTTTAAAATTTCCAACCTTTATTTTTAAGTTATACATTGCCAATGTTACTATACTAGTACTGTTGAATTTGACCTTTGTACTACTTTTCACCTTCAACTGCTTTCTGCTAAATTTGTGACCGTCATATTTTTTTTTTTTTTTGGAAGTCTCTCAAGGAACAATTTGAGGTAGGGGCATATTTTAGGTTGGTAATTTCACTACTTTGGATATGCATACAAAGTATGTATACCACATATACAGTAACTGTAGTAACTAAATGTATGTATATACCTGTATTAAATAGGGATGGGTGAAGCACAAATTTTTGATAAGTTAGTGTTTTCCATAGCAGAAAATGATGCTAAACACACATAGGCAACCATTTATTTTTCACAACAGCCAATTATGTTGGTAAAATGATGATTTTCAAAATGGCAGACAAAACGACTTAATAAGAGTTTCAACATCGACAATTAAAGGACCCATAATTTGGGAGATGCCTTTTTATGTTTTTCAGGGTGTAAAATATATTTTTCATATGTTAACACTGTCATTGTTACATTTTAAATGGAGTTTGGTTAACTTGTTATTGATTGAGCGAACCAGATCTCAGTCAGTCAAAAAGAGGAGTTATAAGATATCCCTTCCAAGTTCTGCTGGATGTAAGTTATGAGGAAGAATCAGAACTACGTATCCTAAACTCTAGCAAGGAAAGGGTGAATGTCTTCGAATTGTTGAAAAGAGATGAATGGAATAGTTTTGTTCTGCACAAAAGAAGCCAGGGAAGCAATCACTGTTATAAACTGAAACTAGCAAAGAAGTTGCCAAGGAAATATCCAATGTCTGGATGTCCAAGAATATCTTCTCTTTGAGAACATTTCCAACAGAATAACTGCATATAAGGGCTGCTATAAAAATATTGTGCTTATATACAATGAATCTTATATCATAAACACTCTTTGGCAAGTTTTGATTCAACTCTTTCACTTTCGTATATCATCACTTTTAATCCTTGCACTTTATAGGCTGCATTCCCACAGATTTAGATCGATCCATCTGGATCAACCTAACTCCCTGGGGGTTCACGCTAGATTGCTGTCAGCCAAGGGCAGAAGGAAGTTAATTACCCCCTTACAGCTTTTAGTAGGCGGGACAGGCATTTAAGCCGGCTAAGCTGACAGTAATCTAGTGAGACTCCTCACGGGGATAGATCAAATTAAATTTGTTGGAATGCAGTCATAGACAGTTGATGCTTCATTAGTTCTCTAAATATATTATAATCCAACATATTACTGTTGGGAATGTTCTTCTCAAAGAAAGGAAAAGTACAGCATTGGAGATTTCCTTGGCAACTTCGCTGGCCTCAGCTTATGACAGGGATTTCCTATGGCTTCATACATGTAAACCAAAAGTGTATCATCCATCCTATTGTAATAATTTCAAAATATTCACTTTTTGGTAAGGATAATTGATTCTTCATTATAATTCCCATCCAACAGATGTTAGGAAGTCTTATCACTCCTCATTTTGATTGATAAAGATGACTGGGATGGTTCATTGTCCCCATTATTGAAGTTTCTGGCTCTTCAGTCTAGCTTGACAGTTAACATGCAGCTAACATGGTAACTGAATTCACTGTAAAATGCACCAATCTCAGTATTAGCATCAAAAATGGATTCTACAACCCCTAAAACATAAGAAAAGGCATATGACTCAATATAGTACCGTTAATTGTTGTTGATGAAACTCTAAGTAGGCCGTTTTGGCCGCCTTTTTGAAAAGTGTCATACTGCCGACCTAAATAATTGCTGTAGAAATAAGTGATTGACATATTTGTGTTCAGCAGCAAATTTCTCCTCAGAAAACACTTTTTATGGAAAAAAATTGAGATTAACTCTACCCTCTTCATAGCTCCAAAACTAGCACCCATAGTTACTATTAAAGGGATAATAACTCTTCGTATGGGATCTATATTTCACAATAAAAACATTGTGAATAACTCATATAAATATAAAATATTCTGTTGTACCACAAAAACGGCAGTTATAGCTATTGTTCTGATATCTGAGCTTGTCTGACCATGTGACCTCCACTGATGGCTATACTCTGTTATAATCTCTTAAGAGATTATAACAAAAAACAAACTTTTAAGAAAAAAACCAGGGACTAAATTTGAATGTAAAAATGGATGCATTGGTAAATATGAGAAAATTGTTGTTTACTCCAGGATTTTTTTTTTTTTTTTTTTTTTTTTTTTTTTGCCAAAACGGAGAGTTATTATCCCTTTAAACTTGAATACAATATCATACATTATCGATTTTACATTGACACACACACACACACACACACACACATCATATAATTTACCCTTTCCCCATCTCTTCCCACCCGCATTACCGTTACATAAACATAAGGTCTGTCTCGATAATAGTCTTCGCTTTCCTGACTTCTGATAACTTCTTAGACTGATAAATAACGACAGTTATTTTCAATATATACATAACAACACAATCCACTTGGCACTTCAAACAAAAAACGTTATACACAGTTAAAACTACATGTACTGTAGCCCACAATTTTTCAGTTCCATTTTGTCTTTATATGGCAACTCTGTGGAGTCATTGTTTCTAATTTTTGATTATGTACTCCTCCCATATCTTGACATCTTGCTATAATTTCCCCCAAGACAACTACTTTCACATCTAGGTTGTGGTAAAGAAGTAGTGACTTGTGCTGGCGACCAAATGTTTTATCATAGGTTTTCTGTTGTTATCTTTTAAGATTTAAATATATCTAAGATGTCCCGACAGTCTTTACCTCCGCCAAGGAGGTTGTGTTTTCACCCCTGTTTGTTTGTTTGTTTGATTGTTTGTCATCAACGTAACTCAAAAAGTTATGGATGAATTTCGATGAAATTTTCAGGGTAGGTCAGAAATGGGTTTACTCAGAAGTTATTAGTTTTTGGTGGTAATCCGGATAAACAATCAATCAATAATCAAAAAACTAAGTTATGGACCGATTTTGATGAAAATTTCAGGAACTGTCAGAAGTGTGCCAAGGAACAGATGATTAGTTTTTGGTGGTGATCGGGATCAATAATCAAAAATCAAAAAACTACATCAGTATAGCATGAAAATTTAGGGGTGAAACGGCATTGGGTGGAGACTTTGCTGCCTTCGGAGTGCTTTTCTAGTTTTATCATTGTCCATTCTGTTTCAATCACGCTGGCGTTGATCATAGCTTTAAATCTGTCATGCATACCGATGGATCAAGTTTCTCATCCAGTGACGTCGCACCCCTCTGTTGTGACGTAGATTCTCCTCCCTGCAGTGACGTAGGTGTTTTATCTTGTGACGCTGACGCTTCGCCCAGTTGAGATGCAGACATTATACACTTTGGAGCAGACACCTCACCTGGTTGTGACGTCAAGAATGCGTCATCTTCGTACTCACTAGTAAGGTCACCTACTTGAAAGGAAGGGCGAGTTTCTACCTTGTTGTTCCCTCCAATCTGATTCACAGTAATGTTTGTTTGGTATGTGCTTGATTGTGACCTCTCTGATACAGCTGAAAAGACATATCCTAGCAGGTTGGTACATGTAGACCCTAACTATTCTCTGTCAACTTTTATATTACAAACCACATTGTGAGTTGGGTATTTTACAACTGATCGAGACACATATAAACCTGGCAGGTAGTTGTATGTAGTGGCCTCTAGAGACAGCTGCGAAAATGGCAAGGAGTATTACAGTGCATTTTACGCCTTGCTATTTTTGAAGCTGTCTCTAGAGGCCACCACATGTAGATGCAACCACCTACTGGGTTTAGTGCTTTTTTGGTACACACAAATGATACAAATAAAAGAAAAATTAAAAATTATGCAAATGTGCTCACTTGATGCGAGGCTGGAATGTCGTTTCAGTCCTGGAAGAAATTCCTCGAGCAGTTCTCGGTGCATTTCATACTCTGAAATGTAAATAATGCAAATAATAGGTTGGTTTTATAAATATGTGAAAACAAAGTCGAAATAAAGAACAAACAAATCAGTATTTCAAGAATGCTATATGTGTGATAAAATTTTAAGGGGCGAAGTGAGTTAAAACAGCACGGTTCAAAGTCATCATTTCCACAAGCATAAACACATTCAACCAACAAGCTACTAAGAAAAGTAATTTATGCGGCATCAGCCATAATTAGATAGAAATGGATATAATTCATTACACAGAAATAGCATAATGATTATTCTATATCCAATACAAAACGTTTCCTGTTGAGCTTCATAAGATCATCTTTCATGACAAATTTTCTATTAAGTAATCATCAGAATGTACCATGACCATGTACTGAGTATCATTAACTCATCATTTCTGGATTTCCCAGACAAGTGTTGCAATCCTAACATATTTCCTTTGAAAGAAACATTTTAAAAATTCGTTTCAGAGACTGATATTTCCGGTTAAAATGAACAATCCATGTCCTCCATGTCACCTAGGTAATAATAATACAGGGGCGGATCCAGGATTATTTGAAGGTGGGTCCTGAACGATAGGCCTCGGATGCGAAGCCGACCATCGCCCCCTTTCTGTGAGGTTCGAGGCCTGCTGAAGGACCCCGAAAATATTTTGGTGTTTTGGAGAGCAAACAGTGCCCTTTGGTACAGTTTAGAACTATAATTTAGCTAGTCAAAATTCTACTTTCAAAAGGGGGATATAAGTGTGATATATTTCTCAGAAACCGAAGGGGGGGTCAGACCCCCCCCCCCCCCCAACAAACCCTCTTAATCCCCCACTGTAATAACTTGTGGGGCTACCTGTATACGTCACAACATGCAAACATAAGGTACAGGTATAAAGGGATGCATTTGCGCCGACTTCTGATCATTTTAGTTCTGGGGGATTGTCCTGGAATTACCCTTAAGCCATGAAAGATGGGGAGAGGGGAGGAGGAGACTTACCCTCTGAAGTGTCAGGGTCCAGTAATTCGGGGTAGAAAACGCACGCTGGTACTACGGTGTTGGGCAGATCTTGACAACAGGGAAACGTGGACGACACGTTTGACAAATCACAAGGCAAATTGTCCCATTTGTGCTTTTTGATCTTTTCCAAATCTCGTCTTTGGTTAAGGATGCAACCTGGACAGACCAAAAAAATATCGCAGTGTTCTTCTTGACATGTGGTGAAATATTCCACGGCTTGTCTTGTGAATTTCCACATTGCCATTAAGTCCTTCCCTGTCTGTCTCCCGTTTATTCTTCTTCGCACTGACAGTTCGAATATGGATTGACATTCATCTTCCTGGGTAGCCTTTTTCTCAATCATCACAGTCATATCGCTAACTTTCGTGAGAAGTCCAGTAACCCAATCCATTCGCCTGTCCCTGCTAAACGCGTGTTCGTGTTTCTGAATATAACACTTTGCCAGTAAGATAAAGAGGTCTGGGACTTCAGACAAGAAGTGGAATTCTACAGTTAATTGCAGCTCATTTGGTCTCGGTATGATATTCCAAAATTCATTGAAATTTTCGTCTTTTGTCTTTGTTATAAAATATGGCAGGTACAAGCTATTTTCTGTACACTGGCTGGCAGCCCTGATCTCTTTCAGGATTTCAAAAACCACATCTTCCTGAACGTCTTTGTATCCTCCAACATCTAGGAGACACCGAAGTAGTTTTGTACTCAGAATGCCCATTTCTCTGAGATCTTTCACTTCTTTTTTCCACATCTCAGTTGTCAATTTTGACCCTTTGTAGATTTCGCTGTCTGCTATTTTGCTTAGCTTGGTATTCATGTCGTGGTTCACGACGAGGGCAAGGACGGATACCAGAGTGTAATGGGATGGGAATACGTAATCCTTCAAGGGTGATTGATGATAGGGAAAATACACAATTGCTCCCCAACTTTGCAATTGTTCTAGCAAATCACCAAGGCCTTTAAATAACCATTTTTGCCAGCCAATTTTTCTCGAATACATTTTTTTTACTTCGTCCAGGGTAACATATAACCGCCCGCTGAAATCCACTTTTAGAAGATGATCAACATAAAACCACCTGTCCCCTCTAGGCTTTTTAGATAAAGACTGTCGTTTTTCAATTGTATCCAATACGGCATTATCTAATTCATCTATGCCGGTAAAGTCGGTGGAACTGATGAAATGTATCTTGTCGTTCACATTTAAAGGTGACCCTTCTTTAAACCGCAAAGTATGTCGTTTAACATGGGCTTCAACTGTGTTTCGTTTTTCGGGACTCACTTTATCTGAATGAGAACCAACCAAAAATACAATTGCATTTGGGAGAGTGTTTTTTATTTTATGAAGCCATCGGCCAACATGTCTTTGAAAATCCACCCCATAGGTCTCCGCATTAAACATAAGAATACAGATACCTATCATTGAAAGGAAAAGCCGGTAAGCATACTGATAGACAGGGTGCCCCCCAAAGTCTGTGTACATCAACACGACTTCTCTTCCTGATGGTAGCGTAATCAGTTTGGTGTGCTGGTTTGCGAACTCGGTTCGATCACCCTCGTCGGTGGGATTTGCCCTCCCTTTCAAGGAGCTCCTGATGTAACTAGATTTCCCGGCAAATGCCTCGCCTAAAATGAAAATACTCTGTCGATCTTTTTTAGTTGTTGTCTCTTTGTCCCGCTTCAGGAGCCGATTTGTTATATCTGGGGCAGAATTGCACCTGGCAATAAGGGGATCCCTCAGTTGACGGCGTTCTATCTTCCCTTTGTGAGTGTCTTGTCTGTCGCCGTCGATCCCGAGATCCTTAATTTGAAGAAGATGGAATTTGTCAGGTAAATGCTCAATTTTGTTAAAGGAAATGTACAAACGTCTCAGTTTTGATAAATTGCATATTTCGTCGGGAAGGTCCTTTAGTTCATTCCTGCTGCAATTGATTTCGATCAGATGCCTCAGTTTTCCTATAGTTCCAGGTAGACATGCCAAGTTATTGTTTTGTGCGCGCAAAGTCTCAAGGTGTTCTAGTGACTTGATGTCTCTTGGCAATGCTACCAGCTGATTGTGTCCCATATCGAGAAATGTCAGTTTCTTACAGCATAAGCTTTGCTCTGGGAAAGTCTTGAAACAATTGTGACTTATATCCAGCTTCTCTAAGTTGTGAAGGCTACCGAAATCACTTGGTAAATCCTTTAATTCACAATAACAAGCTTGGAGATTCTTCAGCTTTTCCAGTCTTGATATACCGTTTGGCAACTCAATATGGTTGTTTGCTATGTGAAGAAGTTCCAAATTACTCAAGACCAAAATATTAATTGGAAAAGCAGTGAGACCGATATCACGAATAAACAATTTTGTTAGGTAGTTCCATTGTAAAAACGACAGAGCGCCAAAGTTTGTGAGACAATTATATGACAAATTGATAGCATCTAAATGTCTGTCTTTCAGTGCTTCATGCGGTATTTCAGTTAAATTTTGACGACTATAGTCTCTGTCATGTTTCTCTTGCGACTTGCTTGCCATGTTTGAGGTTCGGGTTTCGGGTAGAAATCTGAAAGACAAAAAGGGCAATGAAAATCTAAAAAGGGTGGCAAATAATTACATTTGCCATGATGTAATTAGGGTTTTTTTCACGTCGTAAGTGGCTATGGGTGACAGCGAGTACGTTTTCATTACGTGCGGGTGCTGTGCAATTTCTCCGACATTGCTTTAAGGTGATTACGTAGGGGAAATAGGTTTGTATGTAGTTTGAATAGTAATCATACAGAGCTTTTTCAGTCTCAGTGCAGTTGCAATTTTACTATTTTAGCATCTACGTGGTCAGAATAACGAAACACACACCTACAAATTTATACTAATAAAGGGTACCGGGGGAGATCAGCATTGGTCAGAATTGTGCCGGAAGTGTGACGTCAAGTGGTGTAAGACGCGAAGCTGAGTGGTCATTTTTAGCTAGAGGTGAACGTGAGAGAAGACGTGGACTCAGAAAAAAAAGCAGTTTTTCAAACAACATGGTAAGAGGACATTTCTTCTTTACGCATTTTGGGCAGAGAATACTTGTAGAAATAATAGGCACATGATATGAAAACGTGTCACGGAACTTGAAGGTGCAAAATCGTGCTTAATTTGAAGACAACTATTTGAAATACATGCTTCATCGACTGTCGGGGCGAAAAAGAGCGTAAAGGGAAAGGAATTCCCGGGAGGCTATAAATCGTTGTCATTTAGAATTTTGAAATTTATATAATCTGATATGTCCATATCTAAGTATTTTTGGGTGTTTTGTGGTATGTGCTGCAATTAAAATGATGTTTTAGAGTTCTTGAAGGACCTTGTGAAAACCAGGAAGTAGTTCGTAACTAACAACTGAATCGTACCGATCTACGACTGCTGTGCAAAGTTGTATCTTTTTTTCATATTGTGACGAAATTTTATAAAAGGTGTATTAATGTGATCATATGTGTGGAATTTCATGTCAGATGGACATATAAAGATCTAAAAATTCATCAAAATATTTAAAAATAATAACACCTTTGCACAGTAGTTGTGGATCGGTACGACTCAGTTGTCAGTTATGAATTACTTCCTGGTTTTCACAAGGTCCTTCAAAGACCCTAAAACATCGTTATAATTGCAGCACATACCATAAAACACCCGAAAATACGTAGATATGGACATATCAGATTATATATAAATGCCAATATTCCACATGACAACGATTTATAGCCTCCCAGGAATTCTTTTCCCTTTACGCTCTTTGCCGCGCTGGCGGTCGATGCAGCATGTATTTCAAAACAGATTGACTGCAAATTTAGCACGATTTTGTACCTTCAAGTACCGTGACACGTTTTCATATCATGTGCCTATTGTTTCTACAAGTATTCTCTGCCCCAAAATGCCAAATGCATAAAGGTAAAATGTTATCTTATCTTGTTGTTAGAATAACTGCTTTTTTTCTCCAAGCCCACGTCCTCATTCCCATTCACCTCCAGCTAAAAATGACCACTCAGCTTTACGTATTACACCACTACACGTCACTTCCGGCACAATTCTGACCAATGCTGATCTCCTCCGGTACCCCTTATTACATGTACATTAAGTAACAGTTTTAAATATCTAGCTTCACAATTGTTATACCTCCTATAACTATCATAGGTGGAAGGGAGAGAGACCTAAAACAGGTTCAACCCTAATTATCATAATCACCAGAATTCCACCGAACGACGCACGTAGGGGAACTATGTAATGTCATCTACGAAATTGCAACGGGCTTACATTTTGAAAATATTTGTCAAATGTTTTAACTTGACGAAATTGTATATGGCGATTTCGCACTGAAACCGTCTTATGGTATTTACGGACGGTTTTAGAGCACCGTACGGACAACTCATGGCAAATGTAATTTAGGGCCTCATTCCCAGTGAAAATATATGTCTACCTGGAGCGATCCAACCCCGCAGAGATTCTCGCTGAATGCAATCAGTTAAACAGATTAACACGCTTCCTTTTGTTTCCAACGTTCTCGTATTATCAACAGCTTTTCCGTACTCTACTCAACGCCATCTGTTGAACTGATTGCATTCATCAAGAGTCCCCACGGAGTTGGATCGATCTACGTAGAACGATAGCTTCAATACCCTGAAATGGCCATTATATAACTGCATTCCCACAGATTTTAGATCGATCTATCCCCGTGGGGAGTCTCACTAGATTACTGTCAGCTTAGCCAGCTTAAATGTCTGTCCCGCCTACTAAAAGCTGTAATAGTAAGGGGGTAATTAACTTCCGAGCGCGCTCGGCTGACAGCGATTCAGCATGAACCCTCAGGGAGTTAGGTCGATCCAGATGGATCGATCTAAATCTGTGGGAATGCAGTCTTACAGGTCGGCAGATTAACTATGTGAACTTTTCTTCACAGTGGAGGAATGTACCATGAATTATCCAGATATACGTCTGTGTTTATCTAGTGAAAATCAATCTGTCTCCCTGGTAGAGGGTAGTGGTGCATGGCGTTCTACATGTACTGCACGTAGTCTTAAGGATATTTTCACCCTTCATTATCATCCAGAAACCGAAAATGAGTTCTTCCTGCATCTAATTATTCACCTATCCATCTGCTTTGTGCTGATTCAAAACAATAAAAAAAACTCGAAAATATAAAATGTCGGCGTTTCTTTTTTTTTCGTTGCAATGTATAAGCATAGGCAACTCAAAGCTTTAATCGTCAATTTAACACCTTTCTATTTTGAAGTGAGATAGCAATCGGTATGGGACGTAACTTTATCCCTGAACAAGATTTTATCACGAAAATTGGCAGAGTTGACCAGGAGTGTATAGACTACTAGCCCCTGTCGTCATTTTGGTTTTAATGTTTTTGTGATGGAGTTATGAGTCCCTAATTACATATTTTCATTAAACAAAGGCATTATTTTGCTGTATTACCGATAAAATCTGAACTAAGAATTCTAAGAAAAATTGCTGGCAGGATTTTAGAGTACTAAATGGTGTCATTAAATCTGCGTTGAAGCGGTGATCGTTGGTGCTCAGGTTAAATAGAAATTTGAGAAACCGATTTTCCAGGTTTTACCCAAAAATCGTAATTGAGACGTCACCCGTAAGATCACATATGTGTAAATGTTAATTGATTTAGTCACTGAACACTGAAGATTTATTTATTACCCAAAAGACTGTATGTAAGGCAGTACTTAAAGATCTATACGGTGCTTTGATATGAATTAAAAAGTGAACATATTTTTTTCTTTTTTTTGGGGGGGGGGGACAATAATTATTTATTTTATATTTTATAGCAAAGTTGGGATCTACGAACTTGTCAACGCTAACTGTATCAGGATATAGTGTGTAGCAGAGGCTTAAAGCTTATGTGGTAATAGTAATTATTGTCTGCATGCTGGGTAAAGAAGGCAAACGGGCTTATCCAAATATTCAATCTTTTTCATTGATGCAACTAAAGAGATCACTCAAAATAACAACAATGATGATTCTTTTAAATAATCTAATGTTCATAAACATGCTAATAATGCATGTAGCCTGCATTGAAGAAAAAATACGTCCGCCATCTTGCATCAAAGTGAGCGATAACAAAACGTATAGGACCTTTTGCTATAACGTCGCGTATTCGAAATCATGCTGATTTTCTCAACTCCGTGTCTGCTGCAAATTTAACATTTAACACAACTAATGTTACGTGTGTATGTCATTTCTTACCTTTTTTACTCCATGGGTAGGTTCACTTAGGGCTTATGTATTTTCTTACGTTTCTTCACGGTGGATACCTTTTCACGTAAACACCCTCTAAATGTTTAAACGCAATTTATGACTCAACTCAGAACGATTTGCTTTATCATCGATATAAAGATCAGGGTTTCCTTTTTATTAATTGAAATTGTAAAAATATATATTCAACCCTTTTTAAAGCAACCGCGCCCTTTCAAAGGAACGGGGATCGAGTCACAATTCGCATTTTGCAAGTGAGGTTGAATAAGCATGAAGGCAAACATTTCAATGGCATGCTTTATTCGTATTAATGAAGTAAGGCAAACACGGGATAAAAGACATAGAATTTTCTACCCTCGGAAGGTTGACTTTTCTATTCTTATAAATATAAACAACAAAACCGTCGACACGTCAGGTAAGCATAACAAAGTCGTTTAACTGATTCTTTCACTAACCTCCGGCAGAAAAACGGCTTCTTTTCATGAGGATGTAAAGGATAAAAGAGGGAACGAAATTCTAGAATACAAAACCTGACCGTGGGACCAGTGACGTGTAATAGCTGCATAAAGTGCACATATATTGATACACGTACAGTGCTACAGCGATATTCATTAATGATTCGGTAAGTAGTGATGGGGACGCCATTTTGAGTTTAGGTAGAATAACCGTTTGCAAGGGTTAAAGTAATGGGAACAGTAACTTTTAATAACGACTTCCTCTGTTTTCTTATGTAGATATCTTCTTATTATATAAGATGTTGCTTTCACTGTCTCCAGATTGAGGGTATTTAGCGCTATTGTAACCATAAGAAAAGATCCAACACGGCGTTTTCCTTAAAGGTATTCTGTGACATGAATCGATGCTTCGCGCAAGCTTTCAAATATAAAAACATAGAGATGAACATCGTATTCAGGTGCAAATATTGATCACGTTTTATTTTAATTTCTAATAATTTTTGCAATTAATTTAGATACTTCACTCATCGGAGCATGGTCAATATAGCAGTGGTTGGCGCAGGAGTGATTGGCCTCACCTCGGCTGTTAACATTCAAGCCAGGGTGCCAGGAGCGAAAATCACCGTCATCGCAGACCGCTTTGACCAACAGACCACCAGCAATGGGGCCGCAGGTCTCTTCCGGCCGACAGCTGGGTCGGTCAAAGGGACAGATCCTAATGTTATGCAGTAGGCGCTTTCACATACATGCACTTAGACCCATTCCCATAGATTTTAGATAGATCTATCCCTGTGGGGAGTCTCACTAGATTACTGTCAGCTTAGCCGGCTAAAGCGTCTGTCCCGCCTACTAAAAGCTGTAAGGGGGTAATTAACTATGGTGCGCGCTCGGCTGACTGCAATTTAGCGTGAACCCCCAGGGAGTTAGGTCGATCTAAATCTAAATCTCTGGATCGATGTAAATCTCTGGGAATGCACCCTTAGATTTGATGACGAATTGATACACCTGATTGAGAAAATGGGATTAATGATCTGAAAAAGAAATTCAAAAAGGAAACTAGTCTTTAGTGTCAAGTTAAAAACTGATAAAGTAATTGTAACAGAACATAAATTTCTCAGATGTTACTGTTTGATGGGTTGGGGGAAAAGCATAAATTGGATTTTAATTTTAATTCATTATTATTAAAATATTAAATCATCATATAAAAATGCATTCATACATGTTACTTTCGTTTTGCTTTAGCTTTTAGGTAAGGATGCAGGTTTTTGTTGTTTATTCTCAATAATAATTTCATCAATATTTATGCAATATACCGATGAGTTCCAACATGCACTGTTCAGAGACAACTGTTTAAATTCAGCCTTCTAAGTTCCGCTTTTATAAAAAAAAATATTTATTCATTGATGTCATACAAAATAAAAAATTACAGACATTATCGCAACACGTCAACTATAATTGTAATCACGAGAGGCAGCTTCAGTATTTAAATCAATTGATAACGAAAACTACATGCATTACTAATTACGGTATATTTAAGGGATTTTTAAAACAGGACAGATCATAATTACTCATGCATTTTTTGTATGCAGGCAGTGGTGTGAAGATGCATGGGAATTCTACGAGGAGACAGCGGGAGGTAAAGACGCTGGGATTGCCGGGATTCAAATGACGTCGGGATACCAGATGTCACGGAAACCACTAGAGGTGCACTTTGAATTAAATAGCATTGTGAGAGGGTCAATAGTAATAAAATATAAGCTTCACGGCCTAATTTCTGAAAGATTGTAACTAAAATATATTATCCATAACACTTTCTTCTTATTGCATCATTACGTATTTTACAGCTTAGCAATAAGGGCACTGTCGTATAATTGCGCATCCTTTTTTTCTTTTTAATTGAATTGTAAATGCATCAGTGGAAAGAGTCAAATGGTTTTTTTAGATTTCTGTATAAATCTGTTTATTTTTAAATCTTTAGCCCCCTTTGTACAAAGACTACGTGTACCATTTCCGGGACATGACTGCAAGAGAACTCCGTTTGTTTGGAGAAGATTACATGTAGGTGATACGTGCTAGCTGTTACATACTCGTTTACGGATTAATTATAGGTTATTAGTCCAAATATGTATCAGACAACTGTCAGAATTCAGATAAACGTTGATGAAAATAGAGAGAATCTCTCCCATACTCGTTATTGTAAGCATAATGTTTAAATTCCTTTGGATTTAGCAATCAACACACACACACACACACCTCCAGTATAGGTAAGAATATGGCAGTTTAGTAATATGTAGGCCTAATTATAGCATTTGTAAATAATGTACTAGAACCAGTAAAGATTATTATTATTATTATTATTATTATTATTATTATTATATCAAGGGTTGAGGAATATTTCTATCGCTCCGTTTTACACCTATGCTTATTGTGGAACTCTTAATTTTAATTAAAGGTTTCCTATCCGGGATTTTCGTGCCAAATCTAATTTTCCTCGAAAAAAAGCAATTTACCTACCCAAGAATCATTGCTCAACGCTTCGTTGATTTCTGATCCGATGCGTTTCTAATGAAATCACTTATTTCTAAATGCCTGGCCAGACGTTTGTGCCCTCGTGTTCTTCTTGGGCATTTCAGAGAGCGTATCGACATACATGTAGCGTATACTTTTTAAGTGTTATAATTTTGGTTTGGATTGTGAAAGATAACTAGCTTTAATTAAGGGATATGTAGACATAAAATTTGACTCTAGGACATTTCAAAAGCGTATAGTATACACACACTGGACAATAGAAGTGTCACCCCTACTGAACCAATACTTTGGGGGAGATAAATGACTGTGGAATGATATGCTCCTGGTATCATTTTATTAACATCAAATTTCACAAAAGAAAAAGGTTCTGACTGAACAATTCAACTCTATCGATATTCTGACGTCGCTTATATTCCGCCTCTTCAGGTTAATAACTTTGATTACTCTGATTCAGGGGGTGACACTTCTATTGTCCAGTGTCTGTACTTTTAAACATAGAAATCTTATTCCTGTGCACCGTTTTCTTACAGACATGGTTTCTTCTGTACCACCGTTCTGATCGAATGTCGATACTTCCTGCCATGGTTAACAAAAAAGTGAGTTTCAAATGGAATCCGTTTTGCTATCGTGACATTAGTGATTTCATCAAGCTTTCTTGTAGTCATCACAGCTGTTTGTAGTTGTTAGTGGCGTCTTTTGTTCTGTAAATACCGTTTTGTCATTTCACCTGGTGTTGACACTTAAGCCCACAAGGTGGTAGATAATATGAATTAAATATTATTATTGTAGTAAAGCATCATCATATCCTTCCCTTTTATTTGTTCATTTCAGAATAGTGGACAAGGGAGGCTCATTGGAACGAAGAACGATCACATCCTTGGGGGAGGTAGTGTTGGATTTTTTTTTTTTTTTTTAATCTGTAAAGGTTCATTCGTACTACGTGCAATAACGTCCAAGAGAACTGTTGTATTAATCTATGACATTTCTTCGCTTTTTTCTATCTTCAGTTACCTGACAAATATGATGTCGTTGTTAACTGCACAGGGCTAGGCTCTCGGTCACTGGTTAACGACCCCCACATCGTCTCGGCTAGAGGGCAGTCTATAAGGGTATATTCTTAAACCTTAATCTTCTTCTAGATTTATGTGGGTTTTGTTACTTTTCATAACTATTTCGTTTTTATTTATAAAAGAGGGTCATTGCGTGTGAAAAATACTTACTGTACTATTATTTTTTTTTACCACGATGGCACATTTTTTTGGGAGGGGGTCATATCTATTTAGATTGAAATTAAAAATTATTGATAGATTCTAGTATAATCAAGTGATTGTATTATTTTCTTTCTGTCTTTACGTAGGTGGCAGCCCCATGGATTACCCACTTTGTGTATGATCTAGATAAAGAAGCACATATAATTCCTTGGTAAAAACATATTACAACCTTATTGTTTCCTTTTTATCTACGAAAAATATCTTATTTTCCGATCAAAGCAACACAACGCTCGGCTAAGAAGAAATTTGAGTGAAAAAATTAATTAAATATATTTTTACCAGAGGCCTTCAAAATATTTAGTCATTTTAGGATTAGTCTACAGACCACGACTGTGGTCAGTTAAGTTCAAACTGGTTATTTGTTTGTGCATACCGAAAACAATGCATTAACTGTACTCTCCTTTCTTACACGCAAACACGTTCGTGCACGCGCGCGTACACGCACACACAATATGTTGCCGTTGTGATGCATCGATTTACATTTGTAAATTACGCTCTGTTGTATAACGTAAACATTTTACATTTCACATTTTAATGGTGTTTGTATCTTTATTTACCCGAGACAAAGAGATTTTTAAAGCTGTGATACGATAAAAGAAAAGAAAAGAAAACCCAATAATCTGTTTGAAAAGACATGTTATACTCTTATACTTATATACGTATGTTACACTTTTTTTGTCTTTTTGCAGCCGAGAAAACGTATTCCTAGGGGGAGTGAAACAAGTCGGTAATTATAGCCGTGAGCTTGACGTCAAGGATTCGACCGAAGTGTTTGAGAAATGCTGCAAGTTACAGCCTAGTTTACGGGTAAGGGGTCTTTTTACTAAACGGTGTCTTTGACTGTATCCATTTTTGGGTTTCCCGCACACCTTGTTCATTTCCTGTATACTAAAGTCTTCTGCCAAGGAATTATTTTATTGCCAATATAATACGCTTAACAAAAGATACATGTATTTAAGTACTGCAGGGCTGGGTACCTTGCATATCATGCAAACGTTTTAAATTACTGTACATAAACGATCCCACGGTTAAACACTTCGACATTTATTTTTGACACCCTTAGTCAGCCAAGGTGTTGTGGGAATGGACAGGACTCCGACCTCAAAGAGAACCCCCAAGACTTGAAAAGGAAGAGCTTATTCTGGATGGGCGAACGATAAAGGTTTGTGATTTTCCAAAATGAAAATTTACTCACTTAGTTGAAGTACTTTACAGGCGCCTCTTTCTGCAAAAAAGCTACGATCTGGTCTAAAATTAATGTTCAGTTCAGTGGCTGCAGTCAAACCATACGTATGCTGTCAGAAAGAGACAAAGAGGCCTAAAATTTAACCTAGAAACATTCTAATTTCAGGTAGTTCACAACTACGGACAGGGATCTAGCGGAGTGTCGTTAAGTTGGGGGTGTGCCAAGCATGCCGCAAAACTGGTTGAAGAGTGTCTGAAGTAGAAAGACGGCTTGCTCAACTCACACGACCTACATGGATTGTCGGAGGATGACCGCAAAACTCGTCACAGCCGAGCCTTCGCTCAAGCTGCATGGCCACATAGAGCGGAAGTCACTTCAATTTTTTTAAATGCACTACGGCGTGAAAGCGATAGCACAGGGTACGATTTCCCTTTAATGTGAACTATATGTATGTTAACTGCAATCAAATCGTAAAATATTTTATTGTACTCAACATTCAAATGAAAAAGGATCTGAGAAATAAAATGCTTAGGCCCTATCTACTGGCTGATTAAACGCGTTGACGCTACCTGTACATGGAAAATGTACTTTTGAGGTTGAAATTTGGTCATGAACTGGCAGATCTGAAATCTAGTTGGGCCTGAGATTTATTTATTTATGATATATGGTGATTATGTAGTGAATTTATCGTGAGCTACAGACTCATGTGGACTCCGATTGTTTTCTGCAGTTGCTCCCCTGCCAGAGATTTTTGAAAAACATTTTATTTTTTTTGGATCCTTATAACGTGTTAGCTTTTTTCTGTCTCCCAATCCATTAAAATTGTAGCCATTAGTCTAGAATATACAGACTTGACATTTAATATGGAATATTTCAGTTTCGAAGGTATACCTAGGTAAAAATACGTTCTTTTTTCAAAAAACTCCGATCTCATNTCGAAAAAAATATTCCATATTAAATGTCAAGTCTGTATTTCAATGTCGATATATATTTTACAATGTTGCATGACATGCTTATAGAAGTATACTAATATATCTTTAACCACTAAACTTTATGAATATTTTAATGAAAAGTGAAAACTGATAATTTAGACAAAATAAATGACAAGAAAAAAAAACGAATAAACATAAATTTTGGTATCCTTAATAATTGCTCAGTGTTGGTGTTTTATTACAGAAAATGCCCTCAGAAATCTTTTATTGTTTTTTATCTAAGTCTTTATGGTGGATCCAGGAATGTAAAAGTACAACACGCCTAAGTTGAATCATTTTAAAATACAGTACATATTTAAAAGAAAAAAAGGTTAAAATATCTTAAATGGGCTTTAGAAAAAAATTGTGTCCGTTTGCGCCCGTTTGATTGGTGGTAAAATAAACATATATCAAACACAACCATCGCGCAAAAGGATTTTTCTATTTGTCAATCAGCGCTATCAGATTTGACAGTTTGATTAACCGTCAGGTAATTAGACGTCAATCACAATCGTCTTGCAAAGTAATTTTTACCTTCCATGATTGCGAGGTGCTAATCAAGGCAATTCATCTAATGCTGCATCCCTCCTGTTTTGGATGGGGTCCGCAGACAGCTACTGCCATTGCACCTCCTAGGAACGTTAACTCAAATTAACTTGGAAAAAAATAAAAACATATCAATGACATAGCTCATGGAGGATACTAAGTGCTACCTGAAGTTTCCCACTTAACAATTACTTGCTTTATATGTGTGTAGATAAGCCAACTGTACATAAATCAATTCAAAGCGCAGAAAAATATGTCTCAAACATACAGAATGTGATACAAGATAATGGTATCCACCTCTTCTTCCTTGAAAGTTTTCCATTTTACTCAAACAAGTCGTTTGCTTGAGTATTAATCTTCACCGAGAATCCGGATCCTGGATCGATCCACAGTTAGTACGATATAGGGTCTGTGAATTGTCCCTAAATCACTGAACGTACAAAAGGCCGGATAACCTTCATGACTGAGATATATCACAATAAATTGCCATTCATCAGATTAGACTATTTTTTAAATCACTACGGTTGCGTTCACAATGAATCTATGGGACCATTCCCACAGATATTTGGATCGATCCACGGGGAGTCTCACTAAATTGCTATCAACTTAACCGGCTTTAATTACTGTCACGCCTAGTAAAGCTGTCAGGGGGTAATTATCTTTACCCCCTAGCTGATTCAGACATTTAAACCGGTTAAGGTGAGAGCAATTTAGTGAGACTCCCCAGGGAGTTAGACCGATCCAGATGGATCGATCTAGGCATGGGAACCCAGTCTATCATACTACCTACTCTGCACTCTCTTCACAGGGACTCTCGCTGAATGCATTCTGGTGTTGAACAGAAAACAGAAAAGCTGGTGATTATACACGTGCTTTGCAGACAAGAGAAATTGTAAGTCTGTCAATCTCATCGCAAAATTGTTTTGATATTGCATGTACAGGGTTACCACTTAATATGGAATATTATTTTTTGGCGAGTAAATTATCTACAAAATATTTAATTTCTCTGTAACTACTTTAAATCCAAAGCTGAGGTGTCACTCCATGTGTAGCCAGGTGTGTTACCTAATTACCACACAACTCTCGAAACAATTGATGCATGCAGTTGCATGTTCTGTGGTCAGAAATGTGAGGGGTGGTCTTTTCGGTAATTTCTGTCCTTGTATAAAAACGCATGGGTTTGGTCAATCTTTGGAGTGTGTTTAGAGAAGCAACAAAGGGATCGCTCTGAAACTTGACAGGTACATTAGTGAAGATATGGTTCGACAGCTAAGCAACGCAGCTTACTATGGGATTCTTGCTCTCAGAGAAAATGGCCAGAAACGGACAACCATTGCCAGGTAATTCAACATTTATCAGGAACCGTTTGTGAAGTCCTCCAAAGAATTGCTACAACAGGGGCACCTACTCCAATACCTCGACCAGGGTGTCCGCATATCACACCAAGAAGACAGGATCGCCTTCTCCTTAGAGGACGCCGTGCTGGTCGTACAAAGACAACCAGTGTCCTCAGAAAAGAGAGGCAGAATGTCATTCAAACGCCCGTTTCAAGGTCCCTCGTGAACAAGAGATTATTGCAAGCCGGTTATTTTGCACAAAGGCCAGTAGGGAAACCACTGTTAACAGCAGGTCATAAACAGCGACGACTGCAATGGACTGGGGACCACGTGCGTTTGCAGCCAAAACACTGGAATCACGTCGTTTTCAGTGATGAGGCCAGATATGGATTTTTTAGGGTTGATCGTTGACGTGTACGAGGGGCATAAAACGATGATTGTGTACTGCCTAGGGTGCAAGCAGGGTATGGTAAGGTCTCTGTTTGGGGAGCATTTCATGTCGGTGCCCAGAACCAGTTGGTTCTAGGAGGCAACCTCAGCCAGGATTCCTACAGAAACATTCTACAGCAAACAATGCTTCGATTGGTAAGAGTCGTCTTCAGGAACAACTTCAGGAACAACCAAGACGACTGCGCAACCCCACATCGAGGCCGCAGAATCACTGTTTTTCTTCAAAACCAATGGGTTCGGCAACTGCCCTGGCCTGCAAACTCTCCAGATATTAACCCAATTGAAAATTTGTGGGCGGAAGTAACTCACAGAATTAATAGCTATGGTCCTCGGCCGGTAAATAGTGATGAACTGCGACAGGGAAAATATCACTGCGTGGAATGATATCCCCATCCAAACTCTAAAAAACGTGTCACAGGGTATGCCATGTAGGATGAGGGCGCTGCAAGCGGCTGCTGGAGGTCATACCCGCAATTACTGACTTTTCATGATTTACTGTAGTGAGTTCTTTGACTGTGTAACATATCACTGTCCGGAGGCTATC